GACGAGTAACAGGAAGGCTAGCCATAGGGAGAAGATGACGAAAGTCCACTTGGGCGAGCCGTAGAGAGTCAGACCGAGAGGGACTTGGATGATGCCGAGGAGCGCAATGAGCCGCCCGCTCCAGCGGACGCAATCAGACGCGCAACGACGACACATCTTACCCATCCTCTCCCGACACCGTCCTGCCGTCGTGCGAGCCAAACGACGATCCTGCCTTCTCCTTCTCTGCCAACTCCACCGACGGCCTGTCGACCCCTACATACCTTCGAGGCGATTCTAATCCAGCATCAAGCCTACCTGCGCGCCTGCAGACTGGCTTCCTCGCCTCTGCCGAGTACGCTTCAAGCACAGCAGCCTCATCACCCTGTGGTGTTGCCGACCTATCCATTGACAGCGACCGAGGAGGCGACATTTCTGGCAACGAGACTGGCACTGCGCTGACGTCCCATTCAGCCAGAAGCCGGTCTCCCTTCAACGTTTCTCGCCGCGCCATCATGACCAGTGATGCCAACCCTCACCAGCGTTCTTCCTCTCCCTTGAAAAGAAGAGCCTCCAGCATGGATCCCGACGCCGACGTCAGTATGAAGGAGGAGGATATCGAGATGGCCTCCACCCAGCAGCAGCAGTCCGCCGGGGATGCCGAGTCTGCCCCGACTTTCTCCAACACTCACTTGCCCAGGGCTATGAGTGTCGATCTGCCCGATAATGTTGCAAAGGGAGCATCCGGCACACGCAATGATAAGGGTACGAGTATCTACGGCTGTGGGACTGTAAATGGCTGTTAGCTGACCAAGGTTTTCCGGTAGATCTCCCCCCTCTCGAAGATCAGATCAAGACCATCCAGACCCTTCTCAAGGCCTTCAACGACGAACCCCCGAAAACAGGCGATGTCGCATACGTCGTGTCGAGATCATGGGTGGAAAAGGCTTTGGCGCTTGGCGGAGACCCCAAGTTTGCCAAGAAAGAGACGACAAACGAGCCGCTGGGTCCTGTGGACAATTCAGATCTCATTCTCGAGGTCCTGCCGCAGCCCAATGGTGACGACTTTGTCCGGATGAAGCCTGGTACGGGCATGGAGGAGTGCGAGCTCTTCCCGGAAGACGCCTGGACGCTCGTCTCGGAGTGGTATGGTGTCGGCGACGGACAGAAGCCCATTGTGCGCAGTGCTATCAACGCGGCGCCGGACTCAACGAGCGAGAAGAACATCATGTTCGAGCTGAATCCCCCCGTCTTCACGATTCACAGACTCTGGTCCATGTCGAGCCCTATTAAGATTGACGACAAGCTCAAGAGCAAGGAGCCCATCGTCCTAGTCCGGAGTGCGACTACACCTTACAACCCGTTCTACAAGGAGCTCAAGGAGCTCGCAGGCGTGTCTCTAGACCAGAAGATGCGCGTCTGGCAGCTCGCCCAGAAGCCTGCGGTGCAAGAGTCATCGCCCCGATCGGCCCTTACACCACCCGACTCGCCAAATCCGGACAAGGACGGTGAGAGCTCTTCGGACCCCTGGCAGCATATGCTCGTGGAAGTGCACAACTTTACAAAGGTCAACGGCGGAGACCGACAGGTGGTGCCTGCCGTGGATAACACTGCCAACCCCAACTACAACGGCAACTCTCCCCTCTCTGTCTACGGACTGATGCAGGACATGACTCTTGTCATTGACGAAGAGCTCGCCAAGACTACGTGGGTTTCGAACTACTTCAAGGGAGGCAAGAACGACAAGGTCCTGGCGTCCAGAGGTTCTGCCACGAGCCTCACCGCTCCAGGCAAGGCCACCAGCAGCGGAAGAAGCAGCCCTGCTCCCCAGGGACCCGTTACTAGAGGCCGAACCCAGCAGAAGAAGAAGCCTGGCCGCGGTTTGGGCGCCGTCGGTCTTCAGAATCTCGGCAACACCTGTTACATGAATTCGGCTCTGCAATGTGTTCGCAGCGTTGAGGAGTTGACAAAGTACTTCTTGACAGATAAGTACAAGGAGGAACTCAACAAGGGCAACCCTCTCGGCTACAAAGGACAGGTGGCCATGGCTTATGGTGGACTCCTAAAGGAGATTTACAACGAGTCGAGAGGCGCTGTCAGCCCTCGCGACTTCAAAAACACGGTCGGTCGCGCTCGCGCCACTTTCCAGGGCTGGGGTCAACAAGATACCCAAGAATTCCTCGGCTTCCTCCTCGACGCTTTGCAAGAGGATCTCAGCCGTATTCAGAAGAAGCCTTATATTGAGAAGCCGGACTCTACGGATGACATGATTGGCAACGAGGAGGCCATTCGCAAGATGGCCGAGGAGGTGTGGGACATCACTCGGAAGCGCGATGACTCCGTTGTCGCAGACCTCTTCACCGGTTTATACAAGTCGACTCTTAAGTGCCCGATGTGCGATAAGATCAGCATCACTTTCGACCCGTTCAACAACCTTACACTGCCGCTGCCTATGGAGGACATGTGGAGCCGGCCTGTCAAGTTTTACCCACTCAACGATGCGCCTGTGCAATTCGAGGTTGAGTTGTCGAAGCACAGCACCATGGAGTTGTTGAAGAAGGTCCTTTCGGACAAGACTGGTGTGCCTGTGGAGTTGTTGCTCGGAGCAGAGGAGTTCAAGGGCAAATTCTTCAAGGTCTACGCCGACCACACCTCGGTCTCGGAGGAGATTCAGTCAAACGACATTCCTGCTTTCCATGAGCTGGAATCGTCTCCGACAAACTTCCCTCCCAAGCAGAAGAAGATGGGAACACCCAGCTCGATGCTGGAGATCAGCGATGAGCCATGGGTTGACCCTCGTACTGAGCGGATGGTGGTCACTGTGCTTCACCGCAAGAAGACGGGCAATAACTTCCGAATGAGGGGAGATGATATTGCGTCGCCTCCTCACTTCATTGTTCTCACGCCCGATGAGGTAAGCTCGGCGCCAGTTTTGTGACGTTTGTGTGTGATACTAATAGCATTACAGTCCCGCAGTGAAGATGCCATTCGTCGCAAGGTTCTGGAAAAGGTTGCATCGTTCTCTACCTGGTCTGAATTTGAGGAAACCGACGGCAGCACGGATGCAGACATGGTTATCACGTCCCAGTCCGATGCTGATTCGTCAGGAGACAGTAAGGTTGGCTCCAACTCAGTCGAAGGCGAGGATGACTTGGTGAACGTATCTGTCGGCGCAGGCGAGCAACAGCAAACTGAGCGGCGGACCCTGAAGCAGTTCAACACTCGTCGTCCGAAGTGGGCGGATTCCAAGGAGTATCTTCCGCCTCATCTCCAGAACCTGTTCGACCTCAGCTACTTTCACGAGACTACTGATTACGGGATGCCCACGGGCTGGAACACGGTAGACGACAATAAGAATTTCCGTCCCCTGTCATCCCGCGCCCCGGAGATCCCTAACGAGGATTCCAACAGTCCTGGCTCCACCAACGGTGCGGATAGCGAGCATGATAGCGTCAGCGAAGAGACTACCCCGCAGTCCATCGAGGAGCAGACTCGCATGGCGGACGAGTCGGAAGAGGACGAGCCCGTTCGCGTGATCAAGGTACGTGTCTCTAGTGGGCAAAATGATACCATATGAAGAGGTGGAAGCTAATGATACGCAGCCTATGAGTCGAGGAAGAGGTAACCACAAGGTCGGTGGAGCTCGTCGAAAGAATAACAAGGGCAACAAGACCTACGGAAAGAGGGGCGGTAAGCGTCGCAACAGAGACGTGCGGAACAGCAAGGAGCAGTCTTTCCACGTGGTTGATGTTGAGCCTCAGCCGTCGCCTGAGGACGACGTTCGCGGTGGTCCGCTCGTACGTCTGGATGAGGGCATTGTCGTCGATTGGTCCGAAGAAACTTGGGACTTAGTCTTTGGCAAGGAGTCATTGCGCGACACCGACGACAACCGCGGCTCAAAGACCTTTACCGAAGTGGAGGTTCTCGAGGACCCAATCTTGAAGCAGAAGCGTAAGTCGAGGCTGGCTCGGAAGAAGCAGGGTATCACCCTTGAGGAGTGCTTGGACGAGTTTGAGAAGGCCGAAGTGTTGTCTGAGCAGGATATGTGGTATTGTCCACGCTGCAAGGAGCATCGACGCGCTAGCAAGAAGTTCGACCTCTGGAAGACGCCGGACATTCTAGTTGTTCATCTGAAGCGGTTTAGCAGTGCTGGCTGGCGCCGCGACAAGCTTGACGTTTTGGTCGACTTTCCCATCGAGGGCCTTGACCTTCACAAGCGCGTTCTCTGCCAGGAGACGGGCAAGGAAGAAATCTACGACCTCATCGCGGTTGACGATCACTTTGGTGGTCTCGGCGGTGGTCACTACACTGCTTACGGACGAAACTTTGTTGACGGCCAGTGGTACAACTACAATGGTAAGTCCAACCTCGAAAACGAGAAAATCTCACCCCCAGACATGGTGCTCAACGTTTCCTAGATACCTCGGCCACCAAGACCTCGCCCGAGAGCGTCGTTACCAGAGCTGCCTACCTGCTCTTCTACCGGCGTCGGTCCGAGGGCCCCCTGGGCGGCCCTCGCTTCAAGGAGATCTTCGACAAGTTCGACAAGGATGGAGAAGATGACGATGAAGAGGACACCGATTCGGGGGAAGATCAACGTCTCGTCGGGGGCTCCTCCCTAACTGGATCGTCGAGACTTGGGATCGGAGCCGAAGCAACTCACCCGCGCGGAAATCGTGGTTTGGCTAGTAACACAATGTCCACGGCCAACCCCAGCGCAGAGGATGAGCTGCCTCCATATGAGGGTAGCTCCAGCACCAATGTTGGTAGCGACAACATACAAAATAGCATAGAGGATGAGGGCATCGGCATGACTGACTACACTGGAGGAGCGACTGCGTTCTCGGCCACGCAGGGCTGGAACTGGAACTCTTTGGACTCCGCTGATGGAACGAACAACTCTCTTGGTCTGGACGGCTACGGCAGCGACGATGCTCAACCCGACTCTTCAGACGAGCGCGAAACCGGCAACGATGCTGACATGCAGTTCGATGAGACCATGGGAGATTACGAGACTGTCAATGACGAGGCGCCTCCGCCGCCCGACTTTGGCGCTCAGGTCGGCCTCTCGGAGATCCAGAACGCCGCCTGGGCCCGTCAGAACAATACCGAGGTCATTTCTGTGCCGGCTGCTGGTGACGATGCCGCGTCCACAGAGGCAGCAGAGATCCATCTTGATGACGAGGCGGAGCCGCAGCAACAGCCTAGTCGGTCACAGTAGTTCCTGTCGATGGACCTGCTATGATGCTGCGAGTTTTTGTGATTACGGAAAAAAGGCGTGTTGTCCGCTTCGGCATCGCAAAGGGAACGAAGAGACGCCTGGACATATACCAAGACGAGAGCGCAGCAAATGTGCTCACGGGTTCATGAACAATTACCAGGGGGTTGGTTCATGAAGGGAAGGAGACATTACACAAAACAAAAGCAAAAAGGATACAATGAGGCGTAAATAGAGATAGAGTCCCCCTCATGCCCTGGCATATACGAGGCTAGTCTTTCATGGCCTCGTTGGTTTTGTTGGAGTATCGGTTGCATGACGGCACGTGTGTATGACTTTTGATTATTACGTTACGCTATAAGAGGATATAGCACATTCGTAACAACTGGCTATGCATCTTGAACGTGAATGATGTCTTCTTGTGACTGATGTTTTTGAGTGGTTGCCGTTATTGTGGTGTTCGTTGATCACGGACACAGATCGTATGAGCGAGGCTCCATCAATTGGAGCTTACGTCTGTTGAAGAGAAGAGAAGACCTGAAACGAGTGATTTAATCAAGATGGTTGCTAACATGAATGACCAATTCTCACTTGAATATTATAGTTCCTCGTCCAAGACCCAGGAACTTGGTTGGTCAGAGTCCGTATTCTAGGGTACCTGTTGTCAATGGATTGCAGCACACAGCGTAACTGGCCAGACATTCCGTCCGTGCTCCATGGGTGGGTCTCCAATCCGGTCGACGGGGCATCAATTCTTCCCGACGAATGACAGCAGGTGTAATCAATTGCTCTAGGAACTCCAAGCTATTCCCAGAAACCCGATCAATCTGGTTGAAACCAGGACCGGAATCGACCGACCCCCCCCCCCCCCCCCCCCCCCCCCGCACCCTACCCTCCCCCCCCCGCCACCCCCCCCCCCCCCCCCCCACCGCCGCCCCCCCCCCCCCCACCGCCCCCCCCCCCCCCCCCCCCCCCCCCCCCCTTCGAACCCGAACCAATTCCTCTCCCAATTGAGCCAGCACAGCCATGTTGTCGGCATCCAGACGAGCGACGGGCGCCCTGTCGCGGCAGCTCCGCATTGCCTCGAGACCTTTTACAGTGTCGACGACGGTCCGCACGACCGAGAGACCCGCCGTCGTCGAGAAGAACGAGGCCGCGACGCCCCAGGTCGCCGATAACGCCGTCCCCGAGACCGTCGGCCAGGCGCCCAACAGGTCGCTGATCTGGTCACGCAGCCAGAAGCCCCGCGCCGATGCCATGACTGGCCCGCGGTTCGAACAGACCGACTTCTCCCTCCAGGTGAGACCCGAGACCAGCAGCACTTTGCCGACATGAAAAAGTGACTGGGATGAAACTCTGGGGCTGACATATTCGCTCGCGCAGCCACAACCTCACTCAGCAATTGAGCTCATTCACAAGGAGCCTGTCCGGTGGACTCACCAGCGCGTCGTTGCATGTGACGGCGGTGGCGGCCCCTCTGGCCACCCTAGAATCTATATCAACACGGACAAGCCGGAGATTTCCAGCTGCAACTACTGCGGCCTTCCTTTTGTATGTGCTTCCCATACGTTCCCCGCCATCTATATTACTGGATCGGAGTCATGGTGCGTGCAGTCGAGCATTGAGCTAATTGAATTGAATCCAGGCCAACGAGCACCACCGCAAGCACCTCGAATCCCTCCCCGAGACGTCGTACCCCCTCGCATAGAGACATCCAAGTCGTGGACGGTGAACGAGAGTTTTTAGAGCAGCAGAAGGTGCAGCAGCATTGGGACGAATGACGAAAAGAGAGCGTCGAAGCTTGGTGCGCTGTGCGGCTGGCAGGCCGTGTTGTGTAGATATAGCAGGATCAGTTGCTTCGGATAAACCAATTTCACACATTTTTTCCAAAGACGAGCAGAGTCTGAGTAGTGAAGCTGGCGGATTTGATGTGTGCAGACGGAAGTCACCATCGAAATGCCTGGAGCACCGAGGCTAAGTGGCACTGATTGTGTCCAGCCCGCCATCTGATATGCTGCCCTACGTCTTTGAAAATATATTCGTTTGTGGCAATGGCTTGGAGATGAGAATATGATCGTTGAGACCGCTTAGGAATTGGATGCAGATGTGGAAAGGTTCGCCGATACCGATTTACTGGACAGCGCGCTGTGACACAATTGAGATTCGTCATCGTGCTGTGAGCACTGGCTTCAAAAGTACCAAGAAATGCACCTCGAGGTTCTGCTGGCGTTGAATATTTGTGACACGGGGTATTACACAAAATTGAGCCTCCCACCGAATCAAGCCCAAAAGGCAGCAAGTATTATCCAAGCTAACATGCCGTGTGATTTCACGGGTCCGACCGAGGTCATGTTACTCTCGCATCCTTTGCGTACGTCAAGAATTGTCCAATCTGCTGCTTCCGCAACTCATCTGACCTCACTTATCCATCGAACCTGCCCCACCAGATTGGGGACCGCGCCCGCATCAATTTCACCTCCAAGTCAACCAGCAAACATGTCTCCGACACCTCACAACCGCAACCAGACCTCGCAGACAACGACCCTGCTCATCCTCTGCTTCATCATCATCTGCCTCTTTCCGAACCTATTTCATTTTCTCTGGAACTTACCCCTCACGGCCCTTGGATACGCATTCTCGACAAGTAGCAGTAGCTCAAAGGCGACAACCCCACGTCATACCCCACCACCACCGCCAACTCTCTCATCCGCACCGACAATGACGGGCTCCTGGTTCCAGAAGCAGCTCACGCTGCCCGCTCGCTCGCGCGGCTCGTACCTCATCACCGACGAGATTGTTGGCGCGCTGCCCGAGCTCAAGAACTACAAGGTCGGCATCCTGCACTTGTTCGTGCAGCACACGAGCTGCGCCCTCAGTCTCAACGAGAACTGGGACGACGACGTCCGCGCCGACATGAGCGACGCGCTGGACCGCATCGCTCCCGAGGCCGGCCCCAAGGGCCAGGAGCTGTACCGTCACAGCGCCGAGGGTCCTGATGACATGCCGGTGAGTTTTGGCTTGTCCTGCGTTGCTGTTGTAGTGGCTGACGTCGTCTATCTAGGCTCACATCAAGAGCGCCCTCGTCGGCGCGAGTGTTACTATCCCGATCAAGGATGGTAAGCTGGTAAGTCAAACGCAGGCGGTCGGATGCCAGAGTCCCAGCTCACTTACATCACCTAGGCCACCGGCACCTGGCAAGGAATTTGGTACCTGGAGTTCAGGGCCAGCAAGCACCAGCGCCGCCTCGTGGCCACTATCCAGGGAGAGCCCAAGGCGTGAGTTTCCCCCCGGACGTTTATACAGATAGAAAGAAAAAGAAGAGTAAAAAAAAATCACCGATTCCCCTTTGAAACTGAGAATACCATTCTATACGGTATCGATGCAAATGTAGAGTCAAACCTATTGTACAGTCCCACCGGTCTACTTATGGCACTTTTGTGACCTACGCCAAAACGCCTCGCCCCGATCCCATTTCGTGAGAAGTCTCCCGCCGTCGCCGATCCGCAACGTTTACTGCTGCTCGCCGTGCTCATCCTCCTCCCCCTTGGCCTCTTGCATATCCGTATCATCCCCGCTCGCCAACACCTTGATCCTCGGGACGTAGCCTTCCGGTGCGCTGGCGCCGGGTGTAGCAGCGACGATGTTGCCGTTGTCGTCGACGAACTCAAAGTTGTATCTGCTGAGGAGGTGGGGAATCGCGGAGAGCTGCGGTCCGTATCGCGCGGTGTTGTCGTAGAGCTCAAACAGGGGGACTGCGAGGAGCTTCATGTTCTTGGGGACACTAAGCACTTCTGTTGTTGTTGGGAAAGGGAAGCAAAAAGGTTAGCCAAGATTTCGTTTCGGCGCGACAACTGTGCTCGGGGGGGGGGGGGGGGGGGGGGGCGGGGGGGGGGGTGGGGTGGGGGGGGGGGGGGTGGGGGGGGGGGGGGGGGGGGGGGGGGGGGGGGGGGGGTTTCGTAACGTACTGCTCTTGGGCAACTGGATAAAGTAGAGCTTCTTGCATTCCTTTGGCCGAGTGACATGCGCCGGGACAAAGGGGTACATGAAGGTCTCAAAGTTGGGACGCCACCACTGCGCCAGGCAGTCGCCGACCTGCCAGTCGGCCGGCTCCTCGCCCTCGCCGATGCGGCCGACGGGGGCGAGGCGCTCGTCGAGGCGGGCCTTGAAGCCCTCGACCTCGTCGTCCTCGGGGCGGAGGTAGTCGCCGGGGAGCTTGAAAAAGGCGTTTGCGATCTGGAGCATGAGGATGTGCGGGTGGTTGTGCTCGTGGCAGACGAGGATGCCCTCGCAGGTGCGGCGCATGCCGTGCTGGGTGTAGTGCTCCTCGAGGCGCTTGAGGCGGGCGATGACGGAGGGGTCCTCTTCGGGCTGGGTCTCCTTGACGCCGAAAGTGTAGTTGGACAGCGGGTACAGGCGGATCGTGTCGGGCTGGTTCGAGTTGAAGGAGAGGGGGATGATGGGCGCGTGGCCCGATTGCAGGGCCGTGGTCGTGATTGTCGACATTATTGTTGTATTTCTCTCTCGTCTTCTTGTTTTCTTCCTTTGTTCTCTTTCGTGGGATGCGTTTGATGGCGGGAATGGCTCGTAGGGAAGTTTTGCAGCTGATACCAGGTTCGGGCTTTGGAAGAGGGCGCGTTGGACAGGGCTGGGGGAAGCTGAGCTAAAGCACGGAGGTGTTCAAGCTTCCACGATTCGACCAAGAGGCATAGAAGGGCGAATGCGGAAGGCGGTAAAGCTTGGACCCCTGGTGGCCCGGCCCCACCCTATGGACCCTCTTCACCGAGGTGAGCGGCCTAAGTCCAACGACATATCTCGCCTTACATCGTGAAGCACAATCATTCTACAATCGTGTCTCTTTCGAGTCTCTATCCTAAAGGTCAAGTTTATTTTGGAAGAGGCGCGTTGCATAAGTCATACGATTGACAATTCGCAGCTTCTCGAGAAAATCAAAACAGATGGCAAAACGGCGGCTCATACACTATCATTACTATCTCAATAAACTACGCCTGTTCTTACCCCTCTATGTTCTCCTTCCCCATGTCTATTATCTATGACACCATGGACTGGAGGTAGTATTTACTCCCTTAAAATGGCTCTCTACAGCCGTGATTAATATCAGTGAACGATGCACTACTGAGGATCATAGAATAAAGGAATAAAGCCTAGGTGCACTCACAGGTCTTCTAAATGGTACCACTAGATCATGTTCAAAAGAGAATCGTCCAGCTTCAAAGTCTACATGGAACTTTGAGGGAAAAAGTCCATTCAGGGCAATGGTTCATCACGCCTTGAGGCAGAGCACACAGCAGACAGACACGCCTTCTGTCAGTTTCCAAAACCAAGTAGGCAGTAGCGCCTGGCTTACTTCTACTTATTTCGTTTGAGGAAGGAGCTCTCGCCTCTGGAAGTTCCCAGCCTTTCTAATTATCCTCCCACACTGGCCACCGCCAAACTTCTTCCCCATCTTCATCCACCGCAGGAATTGCAGTCTCACCTAGCTTCCACACATCAATCCTAGATTTCGACGCTCACACAGAAGGCTTCATATTTTCAGCATTTGCGACGGGGTTCCGCTGCTCCAGCTTGGTAAGTTACATCCTACTCTGACAAGGACCAGCAAAGGAGACAGGAAGTTCTGTTCTCGGTGGCATTACTGAGATCAAACATTTCCCTTACCTCTCTCATTTTTCCCCTCTTGTCAAAATTCTCAGAATAAATCACGCCCTGGATCATGAAATTTCCTCCTCTCTCGTCACACCCCAGGTCTACATCAAGATTCCCTTCAACAAACATCACGAGACACATTTTGAGCTTCCCCCTAAATTCTTCGGACAAAGGCTCCTGAGGAATCCTCATCTGCACCATACCTTGCTCATTTTATTTTTAGTTCCCATTGCTTGTTGAATTAACCGAAGTTTTACATCAGCACCGCCATCATCAAAAATCAAGTGTTGTACCAGCAAGCGGCGACGATGGAGGAGAATGATGATCATGCTGCGATCTCCATGAGCGCCATGGCTCACAAGAAGCTCGACGAGGCCAAGACGAGCATGGACGCTACAAAGCTTCGAGAGGTGAACTCCAAGACAACCCACCTCCTAGGCAATATCCGCTCAGCCTTGATCAACATCTCGGATCTCAAGCGCGCCAAGCAGTGGCGTGAGAATGTTGAAAAGCTCCAGAGCGAGTACAAGATGCCTCGGTTTGTCATCGGCGTTCTGGGAGATACCGGATCTGGCAAGAGCTCCCTCATCAATGCTGTGTTGGATGAGGAAAGAGTTGTTCCGACCAACTGCATGCGGGCCTGCACAGCTGTCATCACGGAGATTTCGTGGAATGACTCCGATAATCCGAGGAACAAGTATCGAGCCGAAATTGAGTTCATTACCCAGGCTGAATGGACGACCGAGGTCATCGCCCTCCACCGCGATATCCTTGACCACGACGGCAAGCTTTCTTCGGATATCAGAAATGCGGACAGCGATGCTGGAATCGCATATTCGATCTTGAAGTCTGTCTACCCAAAGCATACTGATCAGCAGCTCAGAGACATCGACCCTGCTGTTCTTGCAAACTTCACAAAGGTGCGAGAGGTGATTGGAAAGACCAAGGTTGTGGAAGAAGCCGAATGCGGTCCTTTCTACACCAAGATCCAGGCTTTCGTGGACTCGGAGGAGAAGCGCAACAAGTCCGGCACAGGAGTTGAGAATGCTGAGCCTCAGGAGCTGGAGATGGCGTATTGGCCCCTCATCAAGGTCGTTCGTGTGTTCCTGAAGTCAGAGGTCGTATCGACCGGCGTGGTTATTGTGGATCTGGTACGTAATTAGAGGCTACTACGTTGACTTTTCATTTCATCTAACATCAGAATAGCCTGGAGGACGCGACTCGAACGCTACCCGTGCTGCCGTCGCCGCAAAGTATGTCAAGGAGTGTTCGAGACTGTGGGTGGTCGCACCCATCACCCGTGCGGTCGATGACAAAACGGCCAAGACCCTCATGGGTGACCACTTCAAACAGCAATTGAAGTACGACGGTGCTTACAACAACATCACCTTCATCTGTACCAAAGCAGACGACATTGCTCTGGATGAGGCAGCCCCGAGTCTTGGCTTAGTGGATGTCATGGCGAAAGAGCAGGACCGAAAGGACGCAATGGAAGTTGAAATTGAGCGCAAGAAGAACGAGCTGAAAACTCTCGAGGTCCAGAAAGTGAGCGCCCAAGAGAAGTACAGCAGCATCAGCTACGATTACGATACTTGGAATGGACTTCACAAGCAAGTTTCGAAGGGACAGATGACCTTTGCTCCAATGGAGTCTCCTCGCAAGCGGAAGCGGTCCCAGCCTCGCCCCACAATAGGACCTGCAATGACTAAGAAGGTAAAGAAAGAGTCTGATCTAAGTGACACGGAGGAAAGCACCGATGACTCGGATCTCGACGCCGATGAGTCCAACAATGATGATGACGGGGACGGACCCGAGCCTTTGTCAGCCGCAGAGACGCTCAAAAAACTTGAGGAACTCAAAGCGTCCAAGAAGACTGCTCGTGAGGAGAAGCGTCAAGTAACCAGACAGATGGCTCAGATCAAGAAGGACATCAAGGATATTAGCAAGCAGCGTTCGGCTATCAAGATCAACATGTACCGAACTTGCATTCAAGGCCGTAATGAGTACTCTCGCGAGGCGATCAAGGAGGACTTTGCGTTTGGTTTGAAGGAGTATGTATTTGCATTGCCATTCTATGGACAGGGAATGACTGACAAGGTTGTGTATTTAGGTTCGATGAAGAACTTCTGGCTGAGCAGCAGCAAGAAATCAGAACTCGCCAGCAGGTCGAGGTGGAGAACCCCGACTACGAGGAAATCGGCAAACACTTGCCCGTCTTCTGCATCAGCAGCCGCGGCTACCAGCAGTTGCGAGGTCGCATGAAAAAAGACCATCGTGTTGTGGGCTTCACTTCCCTCGATGATACTGGAGTTCCGGGCCTTCGTGGCCACACCCTTGAGCTGGCCGCGACCATCCAGGCCAGCCACTTTCGCCACCATCTCAGCGAGATTTGCCGTCTGCTGGGAGCGCTGGATCTCTTTTTGGCGGGAGACGCCGCTAACCTTAAGCTTTCTGATAATGAGAAGAAGCAGGAAACCAAGAGCTTGGGAACTGCTCTGACCAAGCTGGGAAAGGTACGTCCGCGAAAACGATCACATCATGAGACATGAGAATGCAGCTGACTGTGTCCCAAGGCACTCGGTGAAGCTGTTACAAAGTGCATGGAAGATTGCAAGGCAGTCGTTGGGAAGAATGTCCTGAAGAAAACCAGCAAGGGTGCCGCGAAAGCCTCTGAGAAGGCCGTGTCTACTGCTGAAGGTTGGGGCGCGAAGCACGACGCCGGAGGTCTTCGCTACGGCACATACAAGGCCACCTGCCGTCGCTTGTAAGTGTTTTCTCGCGATATCCTGAGTGAGAGGACGTGACTCTAACGTAGAGCAGTGGTACCTTCAAGGGTGCAGCGGGCCTCCGTGACTTCAATGAGGGTGAGTTCTGCGCTCCACGACTTGCGCCTGCATGGAGGACCTCTAACACGTAGTAGATCTTCTCAAGCCCATGAAGAACTTTACTGCCCAGGAATGGGACTTGGCCTTCAACAGCCGCTTGCCTGATAAAATTTTGGCACTTGCCAGTTCTACCAAGCATCTGATCGACTCCTTCCATGAGCGCATGAAAGATCGCCGGTTTCTCGTCGAGAATAACGACTTGGTGAACGGATTTCTCGTTGTTATTCTGGCCGCTCAGAAGGAGAAGCTCGCCCATACCGCCAAGAAGCATCAGAAGTTGATCCAGAACGCCCAAAAGGACGCCAATCGTCTCTTCGGCCCCGTCGTCCAGCGGGCCATGCGGGTAGCTTATGACGATTGCGTCGACTTCAAAGGTGAGTACCGCAATCCCTTGAGGGTGTAGACGCAGACGGCTAAACAAGTCCAAACCCCCAAGGAACCGGATCTTTCATCCTCATGAAAGACCGCATGAAGACTCATGTCGAATCGCAGAAGGATAGTATGTTCAAGAACGCCGCCGGAGATGTAGAGAAGGCCGTCAACGACATGCTCACGACCCTCGAGAAGACGATCCGCGACGACACCAAGAGCATTGTGAACACCATGCAGGAGGACTACGTCGGTCTGATTGGAGAGGTGGCTTCCAAGGCCGACAATCGCGCCCGAAAGGTGCTGAGCCCTGTGCTCCGCGACTTTTACAAGAACCTGATTGTCGCCCTCACTCCCGCCAAGGAAGAGGCCGCCACCCCCGAGCCGATCGACCTTGAGCTTGACGTGGGTGATGGTAGCGACGACGAGTACCAGCCCGATGAAGGCATGAGTGATTGATGATGGGATAGGGGATTTTAATTCGGTTGTGATTTAGGAATACTTCTCGTGGCACTTCCGGAGTGACGGGCTATGGATACTCAGACTTGTTGCTTGATGATACTAGCTCCTGCATCATAGCACTTCAGGTTGTGGTATGATGATGACAAATGGCTATGAGGAAACCGCTCGATTGGGCATTGAGTTAGGATTCTGATAGGAAATGAATGGATTATTAAGGAAAACATAACGCAGTGGCGAGGAAGGACGTACGTTGAAAAGATCACCATTTTGGCAAAGAGCAGTTGCTCCTCAATCGCCAGCAGCTCAAGATGAGCAGCGACCACTTACAATGCGAGCTCTTCTAGACCAAGCCGTAGGTTCCGTTTCATCACTTTTCGCCACCTTCATCCACCTCAGCAGCCAGCAGTCTGTCGTCGACAATTCATCTACTTCTTATGTGAGCACGCAGGAACGCTTGGTGTATCTACCCACGCCTCCTCCATCTTATACCAGACGCCACTGTGCGAAGCCCAATTTTTGGACAGACAGGCACACGGCAATTTAATAGACCTTCTCCTCATCTATAGAGTGTCTTCTTTTCAAGCAAGCTCACCAACCATTCCACCAGTGACCAGAGCACCCAAGAGACACGGTCGGCTCCGAGCGCCGGCGTCCGTAGAGGCTGTGTCCCCGGATAACCCTTGCAGACAAAACCGTTGGCGCGGCGTGCGGCACGTAAGGTAGGTAGCACACGGAAGGCCCGTCAGTATGACCGCACCGTGCAGCGTTGACAGCGGGAGAGCGGCGTCCAGTACAAAAAAAACTCCCCGGTCTAGAACACGCCGACGGGACTTTTTTTTTTTTTTTTTTTTTTAGGGGGGGGGGGGGGGGGGGGGGGGGGCGGGGGGGGGGGGGGGGGGGGGCGGCTGGCCGCCCGCGGGGAGGGGGGGTGGGGGGAGGGGGGGGGTTTTTTTTTTTTTTTTTTTTTTTAAAGGGTAAGGGCTGTGGCAGGCGAGACGGGACGGTTGTGTACAGCTTACAGACCAACAGAACGGGCTGGCCAAAGGAGAAAACATGACTGCTCACACCGGCACTGGGAGTTTTTGGTCTCTGTGGTTGGCTGTCCCCGACGTTGTTGTGTGGCGTGGGCTTTCCCATTGGGTGTCGACTCGCAAGTTCTCTCACCACAAATGGCACCGCCATAAGCACCCGCCACTGGGATGTTGCAATCGGACATTAAACTGGCATTCTCGGTGTAGCCAAGGCATGGCCATTACCGCCCTCCTTCGCCCCTCGACGTGCAATGCGCACTGCTTGTTGATAATCCGTAGGTGACACCGCAACGCTGGTTAAGCGAAAGAGCATTGCATCACTATCTGCGTGAAATAAATTGCAAGTCCAGGGGTGGGAGGGTGGACCACTGCTGAGAATGCGAGTCATCAATCTGCCCGAAAGCAAGGCGAACGTGTTGCGCAAGCGGGCCGAACGAAAAGCAAGAAGTTTCTTTCAGCTTTGGGGATCCCGTGACCCGTGGAGCCCGTCTTGTCCCCGTGGAGAGGTCACGGGGTTCCGGGACCGGTGAGAGGGGGCGGCCAGTCATGCGCCGCGGGGGGGTGACGGCCGCGTGACACCCAAAGAGCCGGACTCGGTCAGGGAAAGGAGGTCAAGGTCCGGCGGGGGGAGAGGGGGAGGCACGGGGGGGTTCGACGTGGGAGGCTCCCTCGCCCAAAGCAACACTTGGCACCACTTGCTCGCCAACGAACCTGGGCAGAGCAGCCCACCACGTCGCCAAAGAATGCCACCTTATCTGCGGGCGGAGGCGTCTGGGAAAGTATGTCGGAAAGTCAAATTCTTTGCTTCCCACCCCATCCATGCTGACGACCTTGTCCGTCGTGGGGTCTCCTTTGGCGAGGACCTCTGACGTTGAGATACCCCTCGCCTTTCGCGTTGTATCCGTGCAACGCGCGGTGTAGCTGCCAATGCTTGTGCAATGAGTCTTAACCTTGCTCGTCTTTCTCTTGGAAGGGGGGGGAGGGGGGAGGGGGGTTGCGTGGCTTCTCATCCGAGAGGTAAGGTAGGTAGGTAGTCAAGCAGATCTTCATCCAAAACAGACCCTGCGTTATCAGCGAAAGCTAGAGCCTAAAGGAATCGTTCTCGGCGATACTGCATAATAGGTTTGCTGGAGCAGTTCGGCAACCTCCGATTTGTGTTTGTGAGCGGCCGTCTCAAGAGGGTGACCTGTAAGCGCGCGTAGGTGTCATGGAACGACCCGCAGTTCATGACCGCCATCCATGCCCGCAACCCACGACGGGCAGTATCCGTAGGGGGATGCGATTAACTACAGGTTTGTGAGTGTTCCATGAGACAGGCATTGTTGGGTGCAGAGATCGATTGCTAGCTCGAGGGTTGCAGCAATCGTTGCAACAGTGCCTGCCAGGCTGGAGGCTGAGTTGAGTTTTTGGCCCTTCTTGACGGAATGTCGGGTCAGGGTGCCAATGATATTGCCAGCGCAGTGCCATTGTGGAGCATGGAGCGTGGAGCAGTGGAAGTCTGCTGCTGAACGGAGATCGGCGGCTTTTGGGGGGTTCGAACTCTTGGAAAACCTACCTAATGTGATTATTCATAGAGCCCGTACGCAGCGAGGACAGAGAGCCAGCGGAACAAGTGAAGACAGTCTGTTCATGGCCTGACCAACTGAGTGAGAAGCACATGAAGAGCTTTCCAGATGCATGTGAGTCTCAGGGAAATTGACTGAAGTGAGCACGGGACGGGGTGGCCGACGGTGGATGGAATTGATGGACTTGGTCTAGGCATTCGGCCTCGATCGAGTTGCGGGCCACTACCTGCTGGGTTCCGACTCCCAAGTTGCATGGTTCGAGAAGAGAAAGGTGAAAAAGCAATGATCAAATTAGACATGTTCTGGGGGTGAATAGCCACGTGCCCGTCTTCAAGAAGCAATTCGATGTATTGTTCGGTGAAGAGAACACCGTTGATACCCGAACGACATGGGGCGTCCAACGTCTGGCCAAAGTCGAGCGTCGAGCGTCGAGCGTCGAGCGTCGAGCGTCGAGCGTCGAACGAGGCGTGGGATAACATTGCATAATAGTGCGGCAGGCGCAGACCGTCACCGCCTTGATTACCGGACGTATGCCATGATTGAGGCGCGGCAGGTACGGTATTTGTCGCTGTTGCTATTTCTATTGCTATTGCTATTGCTGTTGTTATGCAGTTGCTCTCGATGCTATGGCTGTAGTTGTAGATGCACAAGTACCCTGGCCGGTGACCCCCATGCAGGATTGCATGTCGATAAATGTGCGCCTGGCAATCACACGCTGGAATTGGAAGGCGATATGGCCCAGGATCCGCGCTCACCGAAAGCACCGAGGAAAAAGCAACCCTTGGCAGACAGCCTTCTCAGTTTTAAGCCCTTAACACTCGAGGGACCGGAGCGAGGCTTGACTCTTTTCAGGATGGAGTCACAGAGTCTTGGAGGGGGGAAGGGACGAAGGAGGGCAAGGGGCGGGGGGGCCACCTGAGTCAACCCTGTCTGCTTGGCAATGCCGGTACGTACCGACCTGCCGCCAACCCCGAGATTCCATTTGGCTTTCCATTGCACAGAGAAGGGGGGAAGCACTGGGGGGGAGACAGATGGGCGGAACCTCCCAAAGGCCAAGTCCCACGTCTTTTCTTCGATAGTGAACCACGCATCCGACCCGACCCAAAGTCCAGACAGCGGGGATCGGGGACACCATCTTGAAGGATGTTCTAGGCCTCTCAAGTACATATTCCTGCCACGGCCGGCGCAGAGCTACTTTGAGATTTGCGGTCCCGGTCCTGCACCGCCCGAAATAATCAACCCACATCGCACAATGCACATTTCACATCGGCCACTTGGACCGACCACACACCCACAACATACACCCGACGCACAATTCATCTCGTGTCTTTCTGCACCAACTCCCGCAGGGCACCGCGTTCTCCATTCTGTCTTACCTTTTGGTCTCGCTTGGATTGTCCTGTCCAACTTGTCCAGTGCAGGTTGTTGTCTCGTCCGCTCCTGGCTATTTTCTTTTATCTAATCTTCTTTTTTTAACCTCAAATTCGGGCCTGGTTCGAGGCCACAATCCACACACCCCTCCCCTGGCCCCCGACTTCCATTGATCATCTCTCCGCGGGGAAGAGAGACACACACAAGCACACAAGCACACACACACACACACACACACACACACATTCGCACACAGAGAGAAACATTCCCCAAACGCGTTCAACTGCAACCCGAACCTCTTTCTCTCCTCCCGCCGCTGCCCACCCCCGTGTGTCTCTGTCGACAACCTTTGCGCCTGTGCGCCTGTGCGCCTGTGCCGGTGGTCTGGCCGCAACCGTAAATCGCCCATCCCGAACAAACATTGGACGCCGCGGACCATTTCGCCGCGACGGCCTGCCCCTTCGTCCCAGACGCCTTGCGTCATGCCCACGCCCAGGAACCCATTGGCCCACCTCCACGCCCCGATTCCTGGCCCTCGTCCGCCCATCGGTCTCTCCCCTAGTCGCCGCTACCGCTGTCACTGGCACTCTCCGTGTTGCTGCCTCTGCCGGCCTTGAGCGACATGGTCGACATGGACGATGCGACGAGGCTCATCGGAGACCTGCATCAGAAGCTAGCCGACCTCGACCACAAGGTTGCAGCCTACCGCCAAGACATGGCCACCGAGTTCCATAGATACTCCCACCAACTGCTCCAAAACATCCCACAACACACTTCAGCCGAGGTTGATCGCCGAGTTGCCGCTTCCTTCGACAACTACCCAGCTCTGCGTCCTGCCCTCAGTCAGAGTCTCACAAGTCCCCTGCGAGACCTGCCTGACTCAACGCCTCCACCGCCGTCCACCGAAGACACCGAAAACCTCGCCAGACTCCACAACAACCCCGGCAACCCCCGCGAACCTCCGCCGCCGTCGCCCAAGTCCACTCCCCCATCCGTCCTTCCCCATGCCGGCACTGCTACCCTAACCTCTCCCGACAGTGTTTATGACCGGGAAAGGGATAGGGGTTTTCACGGTCTCTTCACCCCAAGCTATCTGCCCCTGCTGGACAGCTCACACGAGTCGCCTGCACCAGCAGCAAACCAGTCACCAATCCTCTCGTCAATTCCAAACCCTGCTGCTACTCAAGACGATATGGGTCGTCGCAAGTCCGGACAGGCTCAGGAGCAGCCTGCGATCAAGCTGTCGGTTGCTGCGACCCAAACTCCCGAGAGGCCGAACCACGAGCGCCGGGCGACTGACGACACGACTTCTTCCGGAGCTTCGGAGCAGAGTGAATCCAAGGTGCGCCGTAGTGCCCTCCGAAGAAGCTCGAGCGGAATCAAGCCACCCGCCAGCCCCAGGCGAGTGCGCTTCGAGTTCGAGGGAGGCGAAGTGCTGCCTACAGCCTCGCCCCAGTCATCAGAGCCGTCCTTGGTACAGTCGCACACCCTTGCCAACTCGAGGTCACCCCCTCCGTCGGAAGATGAGTCAATGAGTGTCGAATCCTTGCTGGGCCCAGACGAGGACAGCGGTCCGCCGCCAAAGAAAGTCTCTTCTTCACAAGCACTCCGCGCTCTCTCCCGAGCTCCTTTGGATGCCAACACGGTTTGGACTGTTGTAAATGCCGAAGCTCAAGATAAGGAGAATGGAAGTATGGCTACATCAGATTCAGAGACGTCATTGCAAACGAGCAGCAGTGTCGGCCCAACCCTGAAACCTCAATCACCACCAAAAATAACTCTAGTGGAGCGCAAACGAGCCCCGGAACCGTTGCGTCCTGTTTCCCCAGAGAGAGACAGTCGGAGGAATGATGATGATGATGACAGTGACGGCAGCTCCTCAGACGACGGCTTCCTTGCCATGGCAAAGCCGAAATCCTTTGCCAACAAGAAAGCGATTCTTTCACCGTTATCACGCTCACCGACAAGAACGGTCACTGCGCCTTATAGTCCTATCCGAGATGAGTCTGTGTCGCACGAGGAGGATAAGTTGGTGACACAAAGCGATGGGGCCGAGGAGGATGATGATGAGGACATGTTCCATTTCGAAGGGCTCAGTGCGCCGCCAAAGCCTCGGTCCCGACCAGCTCCAATACAGGAAGAGGAGGAAGAAGAAGAAGAAGAGGATGAGGATGAGGATGAGGACGAGGACGCTCCGTCGAATGAGCCAGTCACCCAGACCTTGTACTCGACTTCGCCTGCTGTGTCAATTCCGAAACCAGTAGAGCCAGCGATTCCGGCACATCTTATTTCAGGCTCGGTTGGATCTTTCAGAGGTCGTCCTGTCATTATGCCCGTTGTTAAGAATCCCGACGTATATCAACAGGCAGCCTCGCTCGGCGATGTCAGCAGCTTTATCGGAGGACTGGACGGACGCAGCGGCGTTGACGACGGAGATCTCAGCAGTTATCGTGCCAGTGTTGGGCAGTCATTGTTCTCGGGGACCCCTCGAAGTTTGATGGAACGAATGATGATGGAGGAAGCACAGAGCCAGAGACGGGCGGCAGCGCAGCGACCGCAGTGAGTGCGACGCGTTACAGCGCTAAATCACCCTTTCTCCTGTTTATGTATATGTTACGGGCATGGGCCAATTGTAGAGTTCCGGAAGTCTGTACATAGACTATGCTTCGGCGTTTAGATGCATAATGGCTGGGCAACTGGGAGGATGAGGCATGCCGAGGCCTTTGGCAGGACGGTTTGGAAGGCCTTGGCCGGCGGCAAAGTCATCATTGGGACGTGGCATACCTGCATCATGGTAGTTTATAAACAACGAAGTCAAGGCCCACGGGCCATTGAAAGAGAGAGAGTTTGTGTACGAGGGGACCTGCGCTGCTAGATCTATGGATGAAGAAATGTGAATGTAATCCCAGCCTACACTGAGCTTGCGGCGTTGATGTTCCTTTTCGGGCTCTGTCAGATCGGGCGTTGGGACCCACACCAAAGCCCGGAGCATGTGGAAAAAACCTGCGCCGAGTCTCCGGATCTCCCGCCCAATCCCGGCGCTTCCAATCCCGTTGCAGGTGATTCTCAGTGGTGCCGCTGCTAGGCAAAGAGCTCCCATCCATCGCCCTTCAAATCGTCCAACCACTTACTATTCGTCATCGACTTCAATTGCACAACACAACAACCTTAACCAAAAAGCCAGCGCAAGACAATCACAATGGGCGGCCTCAACCTCGAAGTTTTCAAGGTAGGATCCATGATTTTTTTAAGTCTACAGTAATACCGTTTTCAATTGCAGAACTCCCCCCCCCCTCCGTGGGACGAAAATGACTGACATTGCGCCGACACCACCAAAAGTTTGGCATGTATGTCATGTTCCCGATCGGTGTCATGTACTACTTTGGCACCAACCTCGACAACCGCTTCGCAGTGCCCGAATTCTGGCCCAAGGCCGAGCACTCCCACAAGATCCCCTTTGACCGCGACGAGATCAAGTCCGAGTACATTCGTCTCGCCAAGAGGCAGCGTGCCTTTGACGAGATCAAGAGGGAGAGGGAGGCCGCGCAGGCCGCGCAGAACCCACCCTCGAATGCGGAGCAGTCATAAAGTCATACGAACGGTTGTCACTGTGCGGCGATGAAGGGCTATCACTAGTTTAGTCCCCAGCACGTCAGGACTTAACCTCTTGAGAGGATGTCGTACGAGAAGTCGGGGGAGATGCGCTGTATCATAAAGGCGTTTTGGCGGTCAAAAGAAGAATGTGCTTGGCTTGGGAAATCGTCATGCAAATCACGCGGAGTTTTGGGAGGGACGGATTCTATTCCTGGGGGTTGATTCGGATTCTCGGGTGACCCCAGACATCGCCCCTCTATCACGGCTTGTATTATGTGTTTTTACCTGTTGTACAAAATATGGTATCCTACAGCAATGTACCTCAAGACACCCGTTGCTCGGGTGTGTATTTCACCATTTTAGGAGTCGAGATTCTCCTCGATGCCGGACCACACCTGCTCGGGGATGTTTCCTCTCGTGGGATTGCCGTACACGGCCTGCACCTCGGGGAACTCCTGCAGCGCAGCCAAGAGCTCGGTCAGCGTCGTCGCCTCGAGCCCCTCGTCGATTTTGACCTTGGTATCCTCGTTGGCGGACCAGATGATCTCGGAGCTGAGCAGCTCGAGCTCGAATTTCGGCCCCACGCCGTTGGCGACGGCGTTGGTCATGTTGGGCTGCGTCCAGACGACGAGGTTGCCTTCCTCGTCGGCCTCAAGGTCCTCGGCACCGCACTCGATGGCGTCGTCCATGATGTCGTCGATGCCGGGGCCGCCTTCTTTCGCAGCAAAGACGACCCGGCCTAAGCGGGTGAAGAAGAAGGTGGCGGCGTTGGCGATGCCCTTGTGTTTCTTGACGAGCACTTTGAGGTCTTGTAGAGAGCGGGCTTTGCTCTCGGTCTCGACTTCGATAATGAGGGCGACGCCGGGTGGGAGGATCGCTTCGAGGGTTAGGGACTCGAGGGAGGCGCCTGAGGCGGAGCGGCCTTGGCCACGTGCGATGGCGGAGTCGATTACGGCTTTGGGTACGCCGTCTAGTTTGGTTGAGGAGCGTCGAGGTCAGCTGTTGGGTGTCCTCATGGGGTTGCGTGCATATAGGTGCTTGCAAATCAGATACCTTTCTTCGCGTTCGCGACTGCCGTGACTAGCTGTGGATTGTTCTCGGTTCCGTGTACTGCGAAGAGATTCGTAAGCTTGCGGGATGCGACGAAGCCGAGGATATCACAGGAAACGCACGCCTAGAGTAAAGGGCAATCGTCTTTGAGTGCTGGCTGCGCATGTTGTTCTTCTGCGCGTCGGCGGCGCCCTTTTTGTGCTTGATCTTGGACCACTTGTTGTGCCCGCTCAGCACGGCGGGCGTCGTCGAGAGCGGACGCAGGCATTGGCAGCAGAAAGTGGTGGTGGTGGTGGTGGTGGGCTGAGCTCGAGTTCTCGGGACGGGGATTGGGGTAGCGGCGGCGACGATGCGCGATGCGATGGTCCGGACGGGGCCGGATGTGAACGGGCGCATGATTGACGACGGGGGATCAGAATCGGAGTCTGGAGCTTTCAATGTCTCCTCTAGTTCTTGTCATGTTTCTTCTGCCCGGGACACACTTTCTGCCACACGGACGGCGGGCGCGACTGTGAGCTCGGAGCTTCCTGTAAATTTAAGTGGAGCCATCTGATGCATCTGACGTGTGGCTGTTCGTGGGTTAGACCCTTGCTTTTCTTGGCTGACACCTTACTTTACCTTCGGGCTGAGCCACAAGCTGGCGCCTCAAAGTGATACCTATGTCATGGCTCCTCCCTCCCCTATGGGAGAGCTTGGGGCAGACCCGCCGGGGGGTAACCGCCCCTAACTCCATGGGGCTCACCTTACTTTAGACCACCCCTTACCTGACCGCATGCCTGTCCTGTCCCTCAACCTGTCCCTAATAACCCATCCCACTCTTCTACAACACATCCGACGAAAAGGGAACAGCATCCATTGAAGAAAACACCAGATCCCACGTGTGTGTGCGCTCGACGGCGTAACTCACACACACCTGCCGTCGTCCCCATGTCGTCGACAGGAGCCCCCAATGGCTCCAACGGGGACCACGCGCAAGCAGCTGCCTCGCCCAGGCCATCGACAGCTGCATCGGGACCACCACCAACACAACCGATGCCCGCCGGTGCAACAGCTTCCGCGGCAGACTCGTCCGCGACATCGACCCCCGAGCTCGACGTCCCGAAGCTCCAGTCTCTCCCCGCCGAACAACAGGAGCTGTTCCTCCTGACCTTTGTCTCGACCCTATCCAAGCACGTCCTTAGCCTCCCCGCCGATGACTGCACCGCCCAGCAGTTCTATCTTAAGAAGGAGATCTTTCAGATCATCAACCTTCCCTCGCCGCAGCCGAGCCGAGTCGTGAGGAACAACCTGGGAAAGTGCCTTGCCCACATCTTTGGCCATGGTGATAGGAAGCTCCTCTTTGAGACCATCAACGATCTGATCGGCATCATCTCGGGCGCCAAGTCCAAGGCCGATGCTGGTCCGCGCATTAAGCACGCCGCCGTCGCGTGTCTGGGAGACGTCTATGTATCCGCCGGCGACAGCGCCATCGGCCTGCACCAGCTGGCATGCGCCACGCTCATCAAGCTTCTCAAGTCGTCGGCCAATAATGCCGGCCTCCGTGCCGCTGTCTTTGGATCCCTGGCCAAGATTGTGAAGATGGTGGAGGGGAGCGTGGACGAGAACGTCGCCAGGGACATCTTCAAGCAGTCGCGCAGCTATGCCACTAGCGACAAGGGCTCGCTTGTCATTGTTTCGGCTTGTCGGTGCCTGAGAACCTTGGTTCGGCACACGCCGTACTTTGAGAACTCTAGCGACTTTGAGAAACTGCAGGCTGCCATCTGGAAGGTCACCGATTCATCGTCGTCGCAAGTGAGGCACGCCGCCGCGGAAGCGCTAGCCGAAGCCATGGTGCGCGGTTATTCAGAGACTGGAGTGGCGGAGGGCGCCCCCATAGCATCAAAAGCGTCCAAGAGGTTCTCCAAGAAGCCCCTCAAGCGCACAGGTACAGCGGCCAGCATCGTTGCGGACGATGACGATCTGCCCATTTCAAGGCCTGGAAGCCCTGCACCTGGCGGAAAGAGGACGCAAGACCTCGCGTTGTCTCTGACGGAAATTCTCAAGATTTTGTCAACGCAGTATGCTAGGATGCCGACATCCAACAGGGCGAGAGCCGCCATTGGCGTCTGCTTCGGCAAGGTGCTCAGAAAGCTCGGCGAGAAGACGGTGGAGGCGAATTTCCTCAGGATTCTCGAGAGCTTGACCATCGACATCTTGGGACAGCCCAACATTCTCAACAACCGTTATCGGCTTCTCATTTCGAGGCGTATCGTCAATACGATTCTCCAGGATATCATTGGACAGAAGATTCTGGGTGAGTCTGGTCAGACTGCAGCGGCCAAGTCGATCATCAACGACATTCTTAAGAACTACCCCCAAGCCCTGACGGAGCGGCCCGAGCCTTCGAAGCATACTCTCATCGCGGCTCTCGGCGCGCTTGCGTCGCTGATCAACAACCTAGGATCCGCTGCGAACAACTTTGCCGAGTCCTGCCGGGACGGCCTATTACAGGTTCTCCAACACCCTAGCTATTCAGTCCAGGTGCACGCTTCGGCGTGCATGAAGGCTTTCGTGCTGGCCTGCCCTCAGCAGCTTCTACCCTGCTTGTCGGTCTGCATGAACAGCCTGAGCCGAGAGCTATCTCTGTTGACGAGTGGCCGAAACTCTCCCCGACGATGTGTAGGATTCGCGCACGGTTTGGCGGCAACGCTGAGTGCCAGTCCGGCGCGACCTCTGCATGGATCCGTCGACATCAACAGCCGCGTCCTGACCATGGCCACCAACTTGTTGAAGTCGAGTGGGCAATCTGAGTTAAGGGTCTCGAGTACTCAAATCCAGGTCGCCTGGATCCTGATCGGTGGCTTGATGTCGCTTGGGCCCAACTTTGTCAAGATTCACCTTTCTCAGTTGCTCCTCCTGTGGAAGAATGCGCTCCCGAAGCCGTTGTCAAAAGACAACACTGCGCACCGGAGTTTCCTCGAGGCTTCCTTCTTGACTCATGTCAGAGAATGTGCTCTAGGATCCATCCTCTCATTCCTGCAGTTCAACAACCGCTTGTTGACCGTCGATGTCTCCAAGCGCATAGCAACGATGCTCCAAAACACGTCCGCATTCTTGCGAACGCTGCCTCCGAGAAAGACGACTGAAGACGTAGCACAAAGGCTGACGCCGGCATTGCAGCTTCACGATCTCGACATGATGGTGCAACGTCGAGTCCTGCAATGCTACATCAAGTTGGTCAACCTCAGCCCAGCTGGTGGCAGCGAGGCCCTTTTGCAATCCAACCTTCTCACAATTGCGATATCGCTGTTTGCGGACCCGGAAAACTATTCGATCAATTCCCTCAGCGCATCGATCGCGAACGCTGCGGCCACTTTCGAGACTGTCTGGGATGTTGGCGACAACTCTGGGTTCGGAATCACAGGTTTGATTTCTGGCTTCAAGATCAAGGGCCTGCCCGGCCAGCAGGACAACTCGATAGAGGGGACGCCGCTAGAGCAAGACAGCCCAGAAGAGGCCATCGACAGGTTACTGCTATCGCCAGTTTGCGGCACTTTGGAACATGACGCATCTCTTTTGTACGTCGGCGACACCACCTCGGAGCCGACAAACCCAGATCCACCAGCCACCGAGGTCATCAACATGGCTATTCAGCTTTTCGCGTTTGTATTCCCGCTCACGCCCCCCAAAGTACAAGAGAGTGTTCTAGAGCAGGTTAGGACCTTCATGTCGGCTGGTTCCCTTCTAAGAGACCCCGGAAGGAAGGCAGCCATTAATGTCAACGTCTCAGTTGCTGTCTTGTCGACGTTGCGGGTGGCTGTGAAGGAGACTCAATCGTCGCCTGGCAACGTCACCAACCTAGCTGTAGAGAGGCTTCTCCAGGATATGCTGCGGGACTTCGTCATCGACGGAGATCAGTATGTCCGGAGTGTCGGGTATGCTGCGGTCGCAAGGCTTTGCAATGCCTGTGGCAACGCCTTTACCAACCAAGAAATCAAGTACCTCGTCGATACTATCGTCAGCAACCGAGAGCCAAGTGCTCGCGCCGGCTGTGCCATGGCACTCGGATCCATCCAAACCAAGGTCGGTGGCATGGCGGCGGGCTACCATCTCAAGACTATTCTCGGCATTCTCATGTCTCTCTGCAACGATCCTCACCCTACCGTCCATTTCTGGGCATTGGAGGCACTCGCACTGGCATCGGATGCGGCTGGACTGAGCTTTGCCGGGTATGTACCCAGCACGCTCGGAATGCTGGCACAACTTTACGTCTCTGATACGCATCACCCGGAAATTTCTTCTGCCATTACGATGAACCTCGAAATGGAACTCTCCACCTCTGCCGCCATCACGCGATGTGTCGACTCTCTCATCAACGTTCTGGGTCCTGACCTGCAAGATTCGACTAAATCGAGAGAGCTCATCCTTAACCTAGTCAACCAACTCCAGGAAGAGGATGACTTGCTGGTGCAGCGAGCCACTCTGAGTTGTTTTGAGCACCTGTCACTTTACGCACCTGGCTACATGCACTTTGAGGATTATGTCAAGTTGCTCCAGAAGTACCTTAGATCAGAGTATCCCATTTTGCGGGACATTGCCGTCGATGGCCTGTATAACATCATGAAGAGAAATCCCAACGATGTGATCAATGCTGCCGAGAAGGGCTTTGAAGACCACCTGTGGTTGGTTCTGGACACTGCGCCAACACACGACGGCATCAGGAACATCCTGAGGAACTGGATGCGACAGACCTGTCTGACTGATACTGGACTGTGGCTTCAAAGATTCCAGACTGTGCTCAAGATGACTAGGGCCAAGGCCAAGGAAGAGTCCGATGTCGGGACCAAAAAGTCTGGCGGGTTACCGGATCTACAGGACGAAGAGGTGGCTGGCTTTGCAGGCACCGCCAAGGACGACCAAGACAACAAGGCCGGGGCCGAAGTCGAGCCTCTCCGATGGCAAGTGACGACGTTCGCCATCAGCTGCATCAACGACATGTTTGTCCTAATTGCGAAGGACGTAATGACGAACGGCGAGTCCGCCGCACAGGTGGCGCTCCAAAATAGGATTGGTGATGTCGTCCGCATGGCCTTCTCCGCGTCCACGTCTAGTGTCTTGGAGCTGCGCGTATGGGGTCTCAAGATCATTGGGGCGGTCCTCAAGATGTTTGGAAGGACACCTGACCCGGACTTTGACGAGGCCATGCTTCTTGAGCAATATCAGGCTCAGATTAGTTCCGCACTCACGCCCGCCTTTGCCGCGGACTCATCCCCTGAGTTGGCCTCGGAAGCCGTCAACGTCTGCGCCGGCTTCATCGCCACAGGCATCGTTACAGATGTTGACAGAATGGGCCGTATTCTCAAGACTCTGGTGTCCGCGCTTGAGACTTTCTCGAAGGAGAACGAAAACGCCGGCATTGGCGAGCTGAAGGGTCTCAGCTCCAATGCGCAGGTCATGGTCAAAATGTCCGTCTTCTCAGCCTGGGCAGAGCTACAAGTTGCCAGCTCGGAGCAAAAGTACCTGCTCGACGTGCTGAAGCCGCACATTGGAACGTTGACGCCGCTGTGGCTTGAGTCGCTGCGAGAATTTGCCCGCTTACGCTTCGAGCCCGATATCTCCATGACACTCGGACCCCCTTCGCTGTCTGGCAGTCTTGACACCATTTATGCGGCCCTGAACAGAGAGACTCTACTCAAGTTCTACCAAGAATCCTGGCTCAAGCTCGTTGACGCCATTGCGAGCTTGATCGAGCAAGACAGCGAGTTTGTGTTTGATGCTCTGGACGGGAAGGAGTCTGAGGGGTTGAATGCAAACGGCCATACCAAGGGGCCCGACATTAACTACCGCGACGAGCCTGTTGCGTTCTTCTTCGTGCTATTTGGAATCGCGTTCGAGGCCCTAGCTACGCGCCCTGGGCAAAGTGACTCGCTAGCCACTCAAGAGCAGAACCTGGCCATTCTGCAGGCTCTCAAGAAGATTCTCCACCCCAGCGTGTCCGGTCATGCGATTTACCGAGAGGCAATCTTCTCGGAAACTATGGATCTCCTTGACAGACTGGTCTTGACGGAAGGCCTCGATGTGCAGGGCGTCATTGTAGAAATCGCGAGGGCACTCTGCGTCTCTCATCCTTCGGCACGCAAAAAAGACTCTGGCGACGACGGCGATCTCTCGGACGACATTGACCAGCTGTTCGAGCTCACACGCATCATAGTCCTGGTCCTCGCCGGGCTGCTACCCAACCTAACAGAGGCAAACCAGCCAGTCCGCCACCAAATGACTGAGGAGGCCGTACTCCTCATCCGCTCATCCCTGAACGCCCTTGTCGATGCTGCCGAGGTCTTCCCCTCCATCATTAAGACAGATCTTCACGCCTGCATCATCCACATCCTCGCCACCATTCTTGCGACTCCCGGGTGTCAGGAGGTCATCGTTCCGCAGTCCCTCCCGACCCTGAAGCGCTTCGTCGTGAGCATGACGAAATCCCGCAGGGCGAGTAGCGGCGAGGACGGCAGCGGCCTGTCGCCTACAGACGTTCAGCTGCAGGGTTGCCTCCGCCGGTTTCTTTCGATTTACCTCAACGCACAGAAGCGAGAGGTGCCTACGTCCCTCACCTGCGTCAAGAACTGTTTGCTTGCGAGCACCATACTTTTCACGGGCGGCATGAATCACCTGGCGGCGAACGATGCTCTTGTGGCAAGATACCTCGATGAGGTGGTTGATTGCCTGACAGATCGCATGGTACGTAGTCGTCTGAAGCCCCCCAAAGGTATCGATATATGTGACTAACACCGAGACAAAACACAGACGGCCAAAATTGCTGCAAATTGCATCAGGTCGCTGCTACTACAGGGCAACCCTACACCGGCAGACAACACCATTGCGCGCTACCTCCTCCCGCGCCTCGTCGCATTCGTCACCAACACGGCGCCAGAGGACCCGGAGAACGCCCGCTCCATGATTGCGCACTCGCTGAGCCAGTACGTCGGCGTGGTGCCCCGGGACCGCGTCCCCATCGCCATGGCCCTCGTCCTCCCCACCTGCCTCGCGCGTGCCTCCTCGGAGGGCGAAGACTGCTACAGGGACACCTCGGCAAGGCTGCTGGAGCTGGCGGCTATTGATCAGAACGCGTTCCGCACCGTCGTGGGGAGCATGAGCGACGGGCAAAAGGCCTTCCTCGAGGAGGTAATCCGATGGGGACGGCAGCAGGGGCCCACGGAACAGACCGCGAGCGGGTCGACGGGCCAGCCAAGCATCGCGTTGAAGATGGACTTTGGAGGGTGATGTGTGATCAATTTTTTCTCTTTTCCTCTTTCCCATCCACGGGTTCCTTGGGCCCGTAACGAGGAAAAGCGGAAAGGTATACAAAGTAAGAGGCGGAACATGGAGGTAATGTGGCGTTGGGGTGGCATTGAAGGGGAGATGGCTGGCCTTAGACAGATGTACTGCTGGGTATGCGCATATGTTTTCCTGCAGGAGACAAAAAGAAGGACGTTTCAAAGTAGATGTTATAATGAGCCGAATCAAGCTCGTGAGCCCAATTTTCCCTTCTTGCCAAGAGATGTGAGTTTCCATTTCGTATGTGTAGGTATGCGAGGCCTACTGAACAATGTCGCTAGCCGAGAGAGCGAGGATCAGCCATCCCGTCGACTCGGATCTTGTGTGACACTTCTGTATGTCGGTTCCCGCAACCCTACCGTCAAACAGGCGTAAAAGATTCATCATGTTTGCGATTCTCAACCGGTCTAGCTTCTCCAAGGATTCCTTAATTTTATTTCATCTTTTTGGCTTTTTGAGATGGTGGAGGGTGGGAAGTAGGTATACGGATACTTGCAGGGAAGAGGAAGAAATATATCACAATTACATTCTACAGGGTCCAGATCAGGAGTGCGTGGCTCTATGTAAGGTACAAAAGGTTAAATTAAAAAAGCAACATGCTTCGGCCGAAAGCCAGGTCTACTCGGGAAGGCTTGTATGACGCTCTCCCCTGCCTTGTTTTCTTTCTTCCTTCTTTTTCAATTTTGAGCTGGCAAATATGTTGTCCTCCGCCCCTTTATTGAATCCAAAATCCACGCAAGCCCACCGTTTCTGTGGAGTCAGCCCAACCCAAAATTTATAGATGAAAATAGAAAGCAGGAAGCAGACAGGAAGAGAGCAGTCAGTTTGTATTGCCGTCCGGTCAAAGGTAGGTTTTTTTTTTTTAAGCAGGTTTCTACCAGCATCCACAGGTATGTATTCGTGGCCTGGGGCCACCCAACCTTGCCCCATGATATGCAGTGATCGGGTTTCCCGAGGGTGGGAATGGGGTTTTTCGAACTCTGTGGCTTGTTCTTTTTCCTTTTTTGGGGGGGGAGCTTGTCTGTACTTGAGAGGGAGCATGGACTTGTACGTAAAGCATGGGCGCGAGGGAAGGGGAGAGATGGGAATTGGGATCGGGAGGATAAAGGGGTATGTTCAACATATATAAAGTTCCCGGTTGTCTTTGCCTGCGTTACTGCCAAGATGTATCCTCATGAATAATTTCCCCCATCTTCAGAGAACGGATAGAAGCTCTGGTCAGGCTCAGCTACTTCGAGGCAGAGGCAGAGACAGCCAGAGAGCTACTCCGTAGTTGCATGAACCCTCGTACTAGCTTGATATGTGTTGGTGTAACGATTCCATGCCGCCCATGTGGATTTTGCTTTCTTTGGCCTGCCTGGGGGTTTGCAGAAACAAGGACTACCTAGACTAGTACCGATAAAGTGGCATGGAGGAGAGCGCGGCGCGGGTTTTGGCAACGTGGCTGTCGTTACAGATGAGCCAAGAGATAGGATAAACCGGGGTAGAGAGGGTGGGCGAGGAGAGGCCCGACGGGAGGGAGATGGGATCCTAGGAGGCTCATCACATTACCCGAGCGGCCCCAGGACTTGTCGTCGGGGAGGCTGAGGTCTCTCGCCGGATATTGAAGCGTCCACAACTCTGTGACTACTACCTCATATTACGGGCGTATAAACAGTCGGGCGGCACATGCATAGCACTCGGTCGGTTACCCCACCCCCCATCGTTTTTTCCTCCACATCATTCTTGCTTTTCCCCCCCTCCCCTTCCACGGTCCACCTTACCATCGCCTTACGGGACGAGCCAGGAGTAGATCGTGCAGGTGAAACAAACATGTTAGTAACGGCTGTAGAAGACGTTAGCCCGTTTCTAAACTGACTCCTCCACACTTTGCTAGCGTACCCGATGTGGTCTTGGCATGGCAGGGCTCTGTACGCTATGGTCTGTTCATCATCAACCATTCACAGGCGAGGGACGTACGAGTATGTCATCAAGTATCTCAGTCGCCTCTGGATACAGTACCTGCCGCAACTCGGCCCTCAGAGCAATTTGAACCCCAACTCCGGCATGACGTCCAATGTCTCCTGTCTTGTATTTTGGCCAAGTTTCGGTAAGCCGATACATGTGGGACATGGTTGATCCGGGGAACAAACTTAGTCGGTGGGAGACTTGACTGTTGGCAGCGAGCCATCTTCCGCATCTGGACGGACGCATGCTTGTCACTCGCTGCTCGGGGCCCCCAGTTTCGGTACCCAACCAACCAGAACCCCTACATTTCATCAGTCGCTGTACGGATATCTAGTGCACAATGCAGGATGCAAACGATTGTGCGTTGGCTCCATCGGCGTTGCCTAGGCCGAGGCTGCATCTAAGCCGTTCACGCTCTTTGTTCACTCCCAGCTACATCTCGACCATCACGGGATTATATCAAGATGCATCAAGTCGCCCATGTTTGCCTGGTAGGTCCAATCTGGATATTTCAAGTGGTCGATTCGACCAATTGTTGAAATTGTCCGAATCCTGACCAATTTTATTACTGTTGATGGTTTCTAAGCTCCATCGGGCAACGAGCGTATGTTGACATACCCCATGATGCCTGCCCCATTGAGCATCGCGACCTGAAATAGAGACCCGGCGTCCTAGCTGACCAGAAGTGGTCTTACAAGTGCAAGATTAAATCAGAAAACCCCCATCTCGACAGAGGAACACACCCAACCCCTGAGGATGCGTCGCCTGAGACGCATTCACCTATTGGCAGCGCTGAAGGTCATCGCTTTGTCTTCTTGGACTCTGATCGAGACCGGTGGCTGCTACCGTCGACAACTAACGGGCCTGATGCTTGTTGTCGTTGCGATTTTTTAGAAGAGGACGACTCGCCGGGTGACTGGCCCTTGGATCTTGATCTAGGCCGGTCGCTGCTAGCATCAACAACTAAAAGGCCTGGTACCTGTTGTTGTTGTGCGGTTGACGAGAAGAGGACGAGTCGCCGGACGACTGGCCCTTGGAATTTGATTGAAGCCGGTGGCTGCTACCATCAACAACTAACGAGCCTGATGCCTGTTGTCGCTGTGGATGTTCTTTTGTGCGATTGAGCCGCCGCGGCTGCGTCAACCGCGACTCGAGTATGCCGCTGTTCCAGGCCTTTCCATTAAGTGCCTCGGCAACGCTTCGTGCCATATCCTGAGTCCGGAATGTTGCAAAGGCAGCGCCTTTTAAATGGTTGTTATAATTTCGACAGACTTCAAGTTCCAGAAGATCTTCTTTTTTCATTGTAACTTTCTCCAGATTTTCCCGGATCAACGCTTCAACTTCATCATCTGAGGGGTTTTGCCGGATTCCCTGGACAACGATTTGGGTGGTGAAGGATTTCGCTAGGCATTTTAAGTATTCCTTACGGAGTTGGTCGATTTGGCTAAGGGGGTTGACGATTTGCGCAGGGGGAGCAGAGTAGATGCCGGAGCTGGAAACGCCATATCCGTACCATGCAGCCGGCTGTGGAGCGTTGTAGTCTCCTTGACGAAGGGTATCAGTATTCTGACTCCACTACAGGTTACGCAAAGTCAGTAAACCTTTCTTTAAGGAACGCCCTCCTGCTGATGGTTCTACCTGAGTAAACGATGGCTCTGCATAGGAACCACACTGATAGGGGCCGATCTGCGGATGGATTGTCGCTGCGTCTTCGGGTCTTTGCGGTCCCGCTTGCGTAGATAACGGGCTTTCTTCCACCTCGCTTTGCTCGACCAGGGCGGGAAGGAATTGGTGACGAATGTCATTTACGATCTGTTTGCCATTGAACGGCTGCTCCAGGCGATCTCGAACGAATGTTAGCGAATGGCTTGACGTCGCCAGCCGGCCGGGTGCACCCACTGAGGGTGCGCTGGAAATGCCGTTGACCTATCACCCTAATCCAGCCAGAGGTTCTAGCCCCGACGAGTTGAACATGATCAAAAGAACAACCTTGGCGAAGCCAATCCCTGAGGTCCCTCCAGTTTGTGCCATAAGGCAACTGTATCGTCAACGTGTCAGGATTTGGTTCAATTGCGGTGTAGCTGGTGGCACGAACGTTGGCAATTAGTATGTGAAAGACTTCCTCCTGGGTATCGGGAATGACCGTCTGCGATTGCGATTGCATGGTGACGTGGGATGACGGGAAGCAAATCCTGGCATGAACTCTGTCCAACGTTGGACGCCAACGCCTTCACTTGACTGGTGGTTTGTGCGACGGTGAAGAATCGAGCAGTGTGCCAGGCTGATGATGGAATCAGCAGCCGACGATGAAGACAGCAAATAGTGAGAGAGATATGAGGAGACTGAAGATTTGGCTACTCCAGTGTCTGCTGCCGTGGTATTTGAGGCCGCGGGAGATTCGGCAAGGGCCACAAGTGCCAGGATCTCGTGGGACACAAGATCCGGTGATGAACCGCAAAGTCTTGGCCGTTTTTGAGTCTGTTCAGACAGACATAGAGAAAACAGATGATGGATTGAGGTTCTGGGAAGGGAAGGGAACAACGGAAATCGTATTTTATATTGGGTGAGTTTTCTCCATCCTCCACGTTTCCTCGTGGAGGAAACCACTGTGAAACCAGGCCATTAATGGCCAATGGAGAGAATTTCTTGTCTTCAACTCGAGGGAAGCGAGGTTCCTGCTAGTTCTGCACCAGATTATCCCAGTTAGAATCGGTACTTGGCAAGCATACATTCCATCTTCGTTGGAAGTATCCATTCTGGCTTGAGTACCCGAGCCTGTGTGCTGCGCTTTGGAGTTCGGTTGTCTGTACCAAACAACAACCCGCTGCTGAATCGGCCGAATGTCCAAACATGGGAAGGGGCCCAGAAACGATCTTGTACCGAATACCTGCACTGTATCCGGGGCCAAAGAGTGTTGCAACGACAGAGGTCTGGTGAAATGCAGCCCATTTCCTAGATCGTGCCATTGAACTCCTCCCTTGCAACGCATCGTAAAAATGACAACCGCCATGTGGGGTCCGGCTTGATGCAGGTTTGTTTTTGGTTGTCACCTATCACCCGCATAAGCTCTGTGGCTGTAATTGGGTCGAGTAAGGCGGATTGCTATCATTGTCGAGTAGTACAAAAGTACGTGCCGTGAACCAGGTCATTGGAGGTCGTGGTGGAAGCTGGGGCTCGGCAACAGGCAGATTCCCTCCTTTGGCTTCTCGACGAAGGCAAAAGAACGCGCGAACAAGGTTGCATTGATTTTTGGTGATAGCCCCGAAGGCTTCCCTTTTCGACTGATTCGTTCCGATCCGCAGAGGGAGCTCGGGACACCAATGAGAACGACGACCAGGGATCAATGGTCTCTCAGATTGTCCATGAACAGCTGAAAGTGCTGTTCAAACCCCAAGTGCGTTCTGAAACTTTGCCCTTGGTCATCGGCAGCCAATATCAGGTTGCAATAATAGAGTCGGGGGGAGCAGGCTCGGACTGGAAAAGTTACATCTTGGACCCCTACAATCAGCTGGTGCGATGCTACGCCGCTGTACGCAGCATGCGCTCCCAACACTTTGTGACGCCTTTGAGTACAGGTGGTCGGTGCATATTGGCGTCAGTTGAGAGAAGTCGCGGAAGACAACATCCACTCAGCGCGGTGCCGGTACGCCACGTCAACCTGTCAGGATGACAGATTATTCCTTGGAGAGGCGTCGTTTTCTGCCTTGTTTACAGCGGCGAAAGCGCACCGGTCAATAGAATTCTGCACAGTTTCAATCGAACCCCTCTCTTTGTAGTCATGTTGCGGCTGTCCGTAAGAGGCGCGAACGCTCACTACTGGCAACCTGTCCTCATGAGAACAGCTTGCCCAATGTGGCCGCGGCAGCAACATGCTTGGGGCTCGGGAATGATCACACCTTTCCGAATCAGGTTGGCGCGGGTGCTAAATCCAACATCGCGCTCGGCTGCAGCAGCGCGCCTTCGCGGGCAGCTAGGAAACCAATGGAAACGCGCTCGATTTCCAAAGGATTGGGGGTCATCTCCGGATGGTTGATCGGGGAAGCTTATGCTGCAGAGCCGTTGTAGAGCTAAAGCAGTGGGGCTGCGATCGATCAAGTCCTTTTGAACGAGAAGGTGTCGTCTACTTCGGACATGTCTAGACCGGACAGGTCCTCATCAAATTCGTCCAATGCAGGCCCATCCAGCTGCGTCTCATCCTTGCCAGTGGTCATTGTCAAGTCATTGCGCTGCGCGTCTTGCCATGGGGCTCCAGAGTCCTCAGCCTCGGCAAGGGATGCCATGAGATGGTGCTTATTATCTCCCAGAAGCAGAACAGCAGAGTCACCGGGCCAGTCGAGCCAGGATGCTTGAGGCTTTCCCAATACCTTGGAATCGGGTAGCTGGTCTCCAAAGTGAACCGTCCTGGGGCCGTGGGACAAGGGGTCCCAGACGAATACCAAGCCTGCGTACTTGTCTCCTTCGCACGTAACCATGAGCACCTCGCGCTGTTTCGGATGCCAGGAAATAGCAGAAACATGGCTGTGGAAGATGAGGACGGCGCGCAGTTCAGATGACTCCAGATCCCAAACCCAAACAGTGCTTGGCCACTCCTCCAAGGTAGTAGCCAAGAGACTGGACGAGGCATCAAAGACGGATAAAGTGCGAGCTGGTTTGGTATCGACACTCCCGTTGCTCGATCGGGCCGGGGCAGATACCGACTGGGTCGCCCGCGAAAAGAAGTGCTGAGAACCTGAAATGGTAGTGACGATTTCCTCTTGCCAGATCTGTACTCATCGTATTAGCCGACGCCAAAACTATTGCTCAATTGTAGGTTGTGCTACCCACCTGAACTGTATCTCTCGGGGCAATGGTTGCAGGATGCTCCAGTCTCATTGACTCGGCCGCGGCCTTGGTTTCCAGAACGCATACGCTACGGGTGTGGTCGCACACGGCAATGCGAGCGCCGTCCGGACTGACTTGACAATGCTTCACCCCCGCGCCGAGTTCGTAATGCTTCTCCTCGACCGCCCAGGGAGATGGTCCAGACCACGTCTTGAAGAGGTGACCGTCGGAGGTGTAAAACAGGATCTTGTGTCCTTGAGCCGCAGACTCCCACACGAGGAGCCAGCGGCCGTCTGGTGTCCAGGCCAGTCCTTGAGCGTCGATGGTGTCGGGCTGCCAAGAGCGAAGGACTTGTCGCGTTTTGGGATGATGGATGCTGACAACATCTTTGCCAGCGACGCGGGTGAGGATGGCCAAATGTGCAGAGCCGGGCCGGAGGGCAAAGCCTCGAGAAGCCACGCTAGCTTGATGAAACTTTGGGTTGCTGATCTCGACAGTTCTCGAACTCGCGAGGTCAAAGACGGAGAATTTGAGGCCATAGGATGAGCACATGAAGATTTCGCTGTCCGAGGCGCCGAACTGAACAAAGGTGGGCTTCAAGTTAGGGGTTGCGGGGTTCCGTATGACGCCACGGTAGCCTGGACCCGAAGCTGAGTAGATGAGAACCTGGTCAGAGAAGCAGGCGAGAATCCGTCTTGAAGAAGGCGACCATCGCAGAGCGTAGGCGGGGCCGAGATTGGACGGCAGCTTGACGCTATGAATAGTCTCCAGGGTTTCGACAGATCGTATACTGATGCTAGTCGGCGACAAGGTTGCAATCAGGTTACCATCGGGACTCGACGCGCAATGCGGCGATGCTGTCGAGGTTATATAAGCCTTGACCAAAGAATGAACGGCAAGGTTTCGAGCGCCTTACATTTGAAGATCCTTGAAAAGTGCATGATGCATGGATGGGGAGTTGGGTATCGGGAGGCGCGAGTGTGAGATGAAGCACAAGGTTCTTAACTTTGATACCTATGCGTACTAAAGACGGCCGGGCTTATTTGGGAGTTGTCTGAGACAGGGTAAGGTAAGCGAAGCGTTCTATACCGAGTACCTATTCTCTTGGGAAGTATCAAGGGACGGATGCTTCTACCTTCTACCGACCGAAGGAAAGCAAGCAGGGTTTCTTTTTTGCGGTTGAAGATGAATTGGGCAAGCGTTCCTCAGTCTCGGCGGCGGTGGAGTCTGGAAGAAAAGCCGTTGTCGCAGTGGAAGGAACAGTGGCTCCTTCGTTGTTTACATTGCTTCCTGTTTGGGATTAGCGCGGGGCTCTTGTCTGTGGTCGCATGTGTCGCATGTGTCCGGGCTGTCTCCGACTTCATGGAAGTTGCCGGCCGGGCGACGGTGTGAGGGGGGCGCCGGGGACCAATCAACACTGTGCTATTTCGCCAGCACCTTATCCGTAATCGCCGCCGAACCCCGCCAAGACCCCCCTCCGCCCAATTCCGTCAGTCTGGACCCGTGACCTGTGCTTGTGCATCAGGTAGGTACGCCCTTTAGCGGCTCTTTCCCCCTCACTTAGTCTCATTTTTGGTACAGAGTCACAGAGAGTAGTTCTCTTTAGTAAGGTCTACCTACCTTACCTACCTTAGTGTATGTTGTCCATCAACGGGCTTACCTCGCTCACAAATAGGTAATCGCCACGCTTCTGCTGACTCACAGTGTCACACATCTCATCGTCGTGATAGCAATTTCATTCATCACTCTTGTTCCAATGGAACATGCAACCATTTCATACCTTAGGTAGACTCCAGCTCATCTTTTAACCTCATATCTTACCTACTACAATCATCACATGTCAGTGTCGCGTCAGCCATGGGAATGAGCAGCGTGTGATTGCTCTTCTTTTCTCTTTCCTCAGTCTCATTTTCACCTATCGCCTCTCTCTCATACCCTTCATACTAGAGCGACATGAGACACAGCATATGGCCTCGCGTTGCCTTGCCCAACGGCGGCCAGCTATTACGACAATGTAGACCACCACAGTTGTCATGCAAACCGCACACCCACACGCAGACGCGGTGTCTGAATGCGGCGGCTGCTGCAGCCCAAGTCACACCGAGCTCCCAACAGCAACCACTCACCACCACCCGCCGCCGTCGTCTCGTCAAGGATGCGAAGCCCTTCTCCGACTTCCTCACCGATACCTTCCACCGCCAGCACGACTACCTCCGCATATCCGTGACGGAACGCTGTAACCTGCGCTGCCTGTACTGCATGCCCGAAGAGGGCGTGCCACTGTCGCCGACCAGGGAACTCCTGACCACTCCCGAGATCGTCCTGCTGTCCTCCGTCTTCGTCTCCCAGGGCGTCACCAAGATCCGCCTGACGGGCGGGGAGCCGACGGTGCGCCGAGACATCGTGCCGCTCATGCACCAGATCGGCGCCCTCCGCCCCCACGGCCTGCGGGAGCTCTGCCTGACCACCAACGGCCTCTCCCTCCACCGGAAGCTCGACAGCATGGTCGAGGCCGGCCTCACCGGCGTCAACCTGAGCCTCGACACCCTGGATCCGCACATGTTCCAGATCATGACCCGGCGCAACGGCTTCGACGCCGTGAAGAAGAGCATCGACCGCATCCTTGCCCTCAACAAGCTCGGCGCGGGTATCAAGTTCAAAATCAACTGCGTCGTCATGCGCGGCCGCAACGACGCCGAGATTGCCCCCTTTGTCGAGATGACGCGTGAAAAGGACGTCGAGGTGCGCTTCATCGAGTACATGCCCTTTGACGGCAACAAGTGGAACAAGGGCAAGATGCTGGGCTACGCCGAGATGCTCGACGTGATCCGCAAAACGTACCCTACGCTGGCCAAGGTCGAGGACCACAAAAACGACACGAGCAAGACGTGGCACGTCCCCGGGTTCGCGGGCAAGATTGGCTTCATCACGAGCATGACGCACAACTTTTGCGGTACCTGCAACCGGCTGCGCATCACCAGCGACGGGAACCTCAAGGTCTGCCTTTTCGGCAACACCGAGGTGTCGCTGCGGGACATTGTGCGAAAGTCCAACAACGGCGACCCCATTGACGAGGCGGCGCTCGAGGCGATGAAGCAGATCGAAATGGACCGCCGGCAGGGGCTGGCGGACGCTGGAAAGCCGCTCGGCACGGCGCTTAACGAGGCGGAGCTCTTGGACGTCATTGGCATGGCCGTCAAGCGCAAGAAGGAGAAGCACGCGGGCATCGGGGAGCTGGAGCACATGAAGAACCGGCCGATGATCTTGATAGGTGGGTAACCGCGGCCCTTTCTCCACTCCTTATATACTCTCTTTGTTGGCCTTGAGGGAGTTGATTGCCCGTGTCTGTTTTGGATTTTTTTTGCATTGGGACGGCGTTGGATACCAAGGTGGATGGTCGAGTGGCATACTCATATGAGGGGGTTACACAGGAAATTAATACATGTATGTTGGATATGAATGGAAGGCTGAATCATTAGTTTATCTAGATTCTCAACCGCTTCAACCTTTTCGTCCGCGATTATCCGCCAGGTCGTCAAAGCCAATGTCCATGACCACGCCCATCAACATCATCCCGGCACCTTCACGCCGTCCTCTCGGCGTGCCAGGGGTACCCACCCACCTCCTCGCATCTGCGACACACCACCACCAACTCCGACTCTTCTCCTCAACCACTACCCGCTACAACGACGACGCCGAGAACAAGGACGAGAAGAACGAGAACGAGAACAAAAACAAACCAACACCATCCCTAACACACATCTCCCCCTCAGGCTCAGCCCACATGGTCTCCATAGCCTCCAAACCCCCCACCGCCCGCATCGCAAAAGCAGCCTGCACCATAACCTTCTCCTCCCCCACCCCCCTCCGCCTCATCCGCGCCTCCCAGATGAAAAAGGGCGACGTCCTGGCCACGGCGCGCATCGCCGGCATCATGGCCGCCAAGCGCACGCCCGATATCGTCCCGCTGTGCCACCCGATCCTGCTCTCCCACATTGGCGTCGAGGTCGAGCCCGCGAGCGAGGCTGACGACGAGACGGTGATGCGGGTCGAGGCGACGGTCGAGTGCGAGGGCAAGACGGGGGTCGAGATGGAGGCTTTGACGGCTGCGGGGGCGGCGGCATTGACAGTGTATGATATGTGCAAGGCCGTTGATAAGGGCATGGTCGTTGGTGGGTTGAGGGTTGTGTTGAAGGATGGGGGGAAGAGCGGACGGTGGGAGATGCCGTGATGGGGTCGTCTGTTTTGTTAGTGGTAGGCGGGTTGAAGTTGCAGTCGAAAAAGCACCAACTCTTAAGTTAACGAAAGGCGCGCATCCTTCATCCTCCATCGCCTCACTGAATACCTCCTACCCCGAGCAGTGAGGTAGTTACACCGGATCTGACGAAACCACTCATGTCCTTCTTCGCTTTCGAGAATATTCACTGTTTAATACGGTCCGGAACAGGTACAAGGCTACTTGAGGAGTCATTAATCGGGAGGAAGTCGACACTCATTCAGATAGAAGAACTATACGTGAACGTAGAAGGAAGTTCAACCGGAAGAAGAGCGTCTGCCAGCAGTAGCGACGTCAGTCATCCGTTCCCCATTTTCAACACTTAAGTACAAAAGGTACGCAGACGAAAGCACCAAATCGAAAGAGTAAGTGACGTATCACTCATAACATGTCCTCGATTGTTCAAGACTTTCGTCGTTTGAACATTTACTACCCCATCGCCGGGATGTTGAAGCCATGACACCGAAATGTGCAATTTGCTATGGAAACGGATACAGCTAACAATGACATACAATCCACCAATCTCTCTCTTCCGTCTTTTATACATCTCACTCTCACTCCCCATCATCTTAAATCCTTCACCCTCAAGACGTCACGAAACCAGTCTACGCAAACTCAGCCTTGATCTCCTTCCCGACATTCGTCGCAATCCAATCCGCAATCGCCATATTCGTAATCATCGGGTTCACGCCGCTCGCGCTCGGGAACACGCTCGCGTCCGAAACAAACAAATTCTCCGTGCCCCAGACGTGTCCCTTCGGTCCCACCACGCCCTCGTCCTCGTTCGGCGCCATACGGCACGTACCCATCTGGTGCGCCGACGAAAAGATGGCCACGGGAGGCGCGTTGCCCACCCGGCGCAGCTTATCCAGCCACGCGACAAACTTGGGATCATTGACGCCGTCCAGGATCGCCTCGTCGTCGCTGTCCGAGGCCGATGACGTTGCCGTCTCCTTCTCCGGGGGCACGGCGTGGTCCTCCTTGACAAAGGGTTCGAGCCCGGGTAAGCCGGCGTGGATCTCGGTCGCGCCCTCGACGTAGCAAATCTTGCAGAGGGCGACGACACCCTCGAGGGTGTTTGCGCGGTCGAAATCGGAGACCACATAGTCGATGCGGGGGCGGCCCGAGATCGGGTCCGGGTATACGCGGCCCGGGTCGCGGTCGCGGGTGAGGGAGATGAAGGCGCCAAAGTGGCGGAAGCGGAGCTCGCTAAGCTTTGCCTGGAGACCCGAGTGCCAGGGCATGCTGGACAGGATGGCGTAGGGCTGTCAAGGTGTCAGTCAGCAAGCTTTTATGTGGAAGGCAGGGGCGAGACGAACAATCATGCAAGTAGGCTCCAGCTTCACACCGTGGCCAGCCTTATCGAGGTCCTCAAACGAGGAGCAGTAACTAGTAATGATACCGCCTGTGTTCACTTCACGTCAGTAATCACGACAATGGTGAATAGTTTCGTCGAGCGACTCACCCTCCCATGGCTTGCAGTCCTCCTTCCAGTAGCCTCCGACAAAGTTGCAGGGATGGACATAGAGATTGCGTCCGAGGTGCCGGTTCTAGACACAACGTTAGCAGGGCGAACAAACAAGGGCGAGGGCCGGAGAAGACGTCGTCTACTCACCGTCAGACCACTCCGCAGCAGCACCAAGGGACTCGAAACCGAGCCCGCCGCCATGATGACTTTCTTGGCCTTGACAATAACCTGTCGAGTGATCCGCTCCTCCAAAGGCGCGCTGGTGCTCCCGTCGCCGCCCCTCGACACCCACTTCCCAACCACGCCCGTGGCTCGCCTGGACCCGTTGGACTCGTCAAAAGTCACTTTTTCAACCTCAAAGCCCTCAATGAACTTGGCCCCGGAGCCCGCCGCCGCCGGCAGCCAGCTCACGGTGGGACCTTGCTTCTCCGTCGACCCACAGCCGAGATGACACTGGCCGCAGTAGTGCTCCGTCCCGCCCGTGTTCTGCGGGGCCGTGGCGGCGTGCCACCCGAGCTTCCGGGACCCGTCCAGCAGCACCTGGTTGCGGTGGTTGTGACGGACCTTATCGGCGCTGACGCCCATAAAGTCGCAGACCTTGTCCAGGCAGTTCTGGAACTGGGGTGAGGTGAAGAAGGGCAGGCCACGGTGCTCGGACCACTCCTTGCGGACGAAGCCTTGCGTCTGGAGACTGACGCTCCAATTGACGGTGCCGCCGCCGCCCCAGCAGCTGCCGGCGACCATGTTGAGCGAGTTGTCGTCACTCGTGATGAAGCCTCCGTTCTCATACAGGAACGAGCAGCCGGCGTCCTGCGTCATGGGGAGCTGAGTTGGAGGGTAGTGGTACGACTTGTCGACGATAAGGACTTTATAGCCTGCCTCGGCCAGGACCTTGGCAGCGACAGCGCCTCCGCAGCCTGATCCGACAATTACAATGTCGGTCTCCACGACTGCTGGCGAGCCGGCCGACTCAAATTGCTCAAAGTTGAAATCGAAGCCCTCGCCGTGCGTCTGGAAGTCCGGCATGTCGGTATAGTCCGTCAGCGCCTTGAAGAGAGGGCTGGTCTGCACGGCGGCCTTTTGCGCCAGCAGGCATATTGACTTTGATAGAACCCTGACGGTGGGAATCCTAGATGTCTGCCAAGCTTTGAGAATCTGCTCACGAACATCTAGCGGTTGAAGGTGGACTGGGGTCCAGTACCCGGTGAGAAACAGAGTGCCGGCGCGAGTGCTGCCAGTTTAGTCAGTCATAGTTCACATGAAGCGCCGTGGTCGCGTTCGCAATGGGTCACTTACCCCAGAGCGCCCATGGCGCCACCTAGCTGACGCTGCGCACCCGACGGCAGGGCCGCAAGTGTCCTGGTGATGCTCTCGACGAATTTGGGTTCTTTCGCGGGGTTGTGCGCCAGATACTCTTGGAACTTTTCCTCCGAAGGCGGGTTCTTCATAGTGTCCTGGGCGAGTTGGAGCGCCGCCGCATAGTCGGCATCGGACACTTGGACCTGGCTCGTCGGGTCTGAGAGAGTCGCTGGTCGTGAGATGGACGGGAGGACCGCCTCGAGCAGGGACATCAGAACGGTCCATTGAGTCTCATTCCAGAAATCGGCCGTCGGCAACGCCGGAAGCTGAAGCTCGACGTTCGTGCCGGGAATGGTCTTTGGCAGAGTAGCCATGATGAAGCGGATGGAAGCGTGTCGGTAGATACAGAGAGATGAAGGTCCAGATGAATGGAGGGTGGTCTGATGGTATAAAGCAATGTAAAGTAGAAAGTGCTATAAGAATGCGTGGAAGAACGGCACCCAGGAAGTTGCGCAAGGTCGGACGAAGGGCAGCTTGGAGTTAGCTATAGTTCCAATTGACATACGAGCGAGCAAAAGGCGCCTCGGAAGCTCATGCTCGACTGAGGTCAGGCTGTGTGGTACTGCGACGGGAAAACGAGTCGTTGTTGGCAACCCCCTGCTGCTCGCATGGTGGTGCTGCAGGGGTTCGTGTTTGCCATGGATGGAGGGGTCTGTGCGACGAAGCATCTCTCAATGGATCTCTCCATAGCTATCTCTCTCTGTTCCTGCCTGTCTCCTCAGATAGATGGGAACCTATTCCCGATGCGGGTTGCTTTCGGTATAGGAGTGGTCAAAGAGTCCGCATACCACCAATTTTGCGGCTAAAGATTGGGTAACGGGATTAGCTCTGAGCCATCTCTTTGTTGGTGGTTGCAGAATCCAGCAAAGAGGAGACTCGGACCTATGAAAACCCCCACCGGAGCTGACCAACATCGAGCTGTCAAAACCATAGATGTGCAGCTCTCGCACTGCATTGGCGGGGTGCAGCGCTACTGAGCGGCACTTGGGCGCATGTAACCCTCTCAACCCGGGCGCGAGTGGCGTAGTGCGGTAGAGGGAAATCGTTTGTAGCTGATCATGCGGGGAACGAAACCCAAGGCACCAAGGTGATGAGGCCTCGTCGGAACCCGAGGGTTTTCTCCTCAGTCATCACCAAATGAGGCCCCTTCAACGCCATATTCATGGATCCCACTGTATGAAGCAGAACTGAAATGGGAGCGAAGAGGCGCCCGACGCGGCTGCCGCACGTGTTGCCTCATGTCTTGACCTCTCAATGGGCAGGGGTCTTTTGTTTTGAAACGACACAGCCACGAGCTTGTCGAGACTTCAGCCACCATGGTCCCAGATGATGGACAAATCGTCAGACTCACCCGTCCACCTTGAAGGTACACAACGACGCCGACAAGAATAATGCTGGGTCGTCTGCTGCAGATCGTATGTTACCATGGCAGCATGGCTTGGGGTGAGATCCTTACATCGACCTGGCCGGGAAGCATTGAGCCTCGGCTCGCATGGACTGAATGAAACGGGCAAGACTATTCATATGGACTTGTCTGTTGAATGCTTCATTGAAGGGATCTGCATTGAACGATCCGGTAGCATAGTCACAATCTTTATTCGGAGAATTGCGAGTGACAGTGCTAAAATCGAATGTTTGGAAAGGGTATGCGTTTGGTAGACGCCGGACTGGCCGTCTTGAAGCCGGCGTTAGGCGGCCCGTTGCCACTCCCGTATATAGCCCAGTCGCTCCAATCCGTGGCTGGCAACGTGTGGGCACCCGGCGCCGCGTACTGCGCCGACAATTGAGCCAAGGCACCAGTTTCCGGCCCGGCGCTAGAGAGAACGGCGCAGTCCGATCCTTGGGTCTCCGGGTTCCACAGCCGGTGGCGCATCGGCTCTACCGCTTGGCACCATGGACTTCACGGGTTGTCTGCTAGCCCGGGCGAGCGGACATGTAAGCGGCGAATCGACCAGGCACTGACAGGAGCAGGCGGACGTGGCCCAATGGGTACAGTGGCCAAAATGCAAGATTCGCTCCCCCTCAAACCTGCAGCTACAGGCCGCGGCTAAACCAGACGTGGACACTTTTCAGGGTCCCATGGCGGGTCTATCCATCTGTGCAAGGGGGGGGGGGGCTGGGTGTCGTCTGGCGATGGGCGGTCTGGCGGCCAAGAGGGTTCAAAGGGGAAGCTGGGCCCGGGGTTCGCCTTTGAAGCCGAATTTGTTGGGGAAAGGGAAAACAAGAACGACTTGGGAAATGCATGTGAGAGTCGATCTGCGAAGAATTGTTGACTGACGGCGAACAAGTCTTCCTGGTCGGCTGGTTTCCGTGTTGGCACTGCTGGCCACCGTGAGTACAGAGCATCAGAGGTGACATTGCTGCTTGTAAGTGCAAGTGTCGTTTGTACCACAAAGACATATGTTGTTGTTGTCCGTACCACCAATGCATTATGTCATGCCTGCGTTGGTTGAGAGAGCTACTGGTTGAATGCGAATTGAGGCTTCCAAGTGCCCTATTGCTGATTAGAACGATCATAGCTTTCCACCAAACAGGAGTACACTCGCATCCATCCCGGCCGAGTCGTCTGTCTAGTCCGAACTGGCGTGATAACATCATCATTGGCAGATGACGGACCGCTTTGAGAAGCACGGGGGGAGGATCGAGGCCCTTGTCGCTCACATGCCAAATTGCCAATCGAGGGTCATTCAGCGACTTCTTGACGACGATTAGATAACAGGCAAAAGATGGTCCATGCCTTCAACAAGACCGTTCGTAATCAAAGGGTGGATCAAAAAGAGAGGCAGGGGAAAAAAAAACTTCGATGCGACGAAGAGAAGACTGATAGGGTTGGGCCTAGTGTTCCCCCAACAAAAAGAACGAAGGTCGGGTAGCCAGGCTCCACGGCGGATGGATACTTGATGATTCGTGGCGTGGGCTACTTCATGCGCGTTAGTGTGTGACACCAAGAGCGCGCGCTGGCATTACCACAAAATATGTTCAACGACGTAAAGTGCCTGTTGCATCCCCCACTGACCACCCACACCATGAAGCAGGGGCAACTTGCAAGGAGCGTCAGCCTGGGCTTCCAGAAGGACGTCGATGGCCACGGGCCCCTGGCGACCCGGCTGCAAGTCTCCAGGATAAGAATTGCGTTTCGCAGAGTTGACCAGACTCGTGATTACCAAGTCAAACCCATCAGGAGTCCGGAGCCCCCGACGGGAGTTCGTTAGAGCCGTTTCTCTTTCCCAACACTGTTCTCATAGTGATCTCTCTCAGCCATCGCATAATGTCGAACGTAGCGTGACCAAACGGCACTGACTGGGCGCAAGTCAGTGAGTGCCGCGGCGGGCCTTGAGGAGACAGGATAAAGGTGCCGTGGCCATGTCCCGAAAATAGAGTTGGAGCTGGTGTCCAAAGCTCCCAATGCGCCATTGCCGTTGTCGGAAAGACAAATGTCTGGGCTGGGTATTGGGCTTCCGGCAACGTCCCAAGCAACATCCATGTCGCAGCTATTCAACTGTTTCAAAGCGCCTGGCGACCTGCGCAAATCGGCGAGTGAGAGGTGTCGTACGGATACAGGCCACGGCGGCGCAAAGACTTTTGGTCGTCCAACCTGTGATGCTCCATCCGTTGGCCCGTACTGGGACATTTGCTCCGGGCTTGGGAATCCGTTCGCAGACATAATTTGCAAGAGTGGTCGTCGTCTTCTTCTCTTCGTCAAGCTGTTGGTTCCCCCCGCCCTGAGTAGCCTGTAGCTTTGGCGTTGCTTGGGCCCGTCCTGCAAATCCCCCCCTTGCTTGGGTGCAAGGATGGGCTTTAACGTCAGCCTACGGATACAGGGCAAGGATGATGTCGAAAGAAGCCGAGGCAAAAGATGAGGTTTTTGGTCAATTTTTTCGGAGCCAGTTGAGCTTGGGTGGGAAGATGGGAAGATGGAACCGAACCTAACCCACCCGGTCCATCCACCCTGGCATCCAGTCACGCCAATGTGGTCGAGGCCGTTTGCCTTCACATGAACCGGTGATGGTTTGCAGTGCCTTTCGTCCGTTGTCAAAGCTTCGAGCTGTTATTCATGTGCCTCTCAACAATGTTCAACAAGGCTGCTGTACGCAGTACAGATACCCGGCAAGTATCCACCAGCACCGGGCCTCGGTCTTTTGTCTCCAGACAGCTGGTCACACTCACTGGTGAGGAAGCGCGGAAAGACAGTGTACATTGTACCTTTGGTGCTTGGCGGGACCAATCGCGTCGAATAGACGGCTGCGAACCTATGTAGGTGGTGGAACGCAAATCGAGTAGTGCCTCCCGCGGCCACCCGAGAAGCCGGGCAAGCGCGCACGAGATACTCGCGGCTTCAGGAAGGCGGCGAAGGCGGCGGGCCATGTGCGCCTGCATCATTTTCCCGGCATTTTTGGGTTTCGCTCCGTCCGTTGTTGTGTACGTACTGCGTAGTAAGGCAAGGCACCGTACCTGGCTTTTCCCACACGTTTATTATGTAATTCTCGTCTGTTGCTTGGGAAGTGCATGGTCGTGTGTGGGACATGACGAGGGCGTGCTCTCGCGTTGCATAGCATTGAGAGACACAACGACACGGCGGGTAAGGTAGGTAGGTACTTTAGGTACTTTAGGTAGGTAGGTAAGTAGCCAGAATCAGATACTTAATCTCCCACCACAGATGAGAGTAGCAGTTGTCACTCTGTGTGTAGTCTGGACCAGAGGCAGTTGCTGTTATCGTTGGCCATGCCGCACCTTACACCTCCCGTTGTTCTCTTCGACTCGGGAAGTTGACGTGCGTGCATTTTGTGGTCTGGACTTGCATCACCTCGTCTCGCCTCGCATCTCATCCGTTCCGTTGCCGTTGCGCCTTGGCCCCAGCATTGCTTATGGCCAAAGCCCGAGCAAAAAAAGACAAACTTCTTTCCCGCTCTCGCTCTCTCTCTCTCCCTGACTGAAGACACTCCCCGCCAGATCCATCACTTAACCCGCGCTACATATATACCTGGTACTTCGTGTACCAGCACCAAGTACCAGGGTGGAGGGGGAATGATGAAGGGGAAGGCAAGGCACGGTAAGGCAAGGAAAAGGGTGGGAGGGGAGGAACCGCTGTTCTTAGTCCCGGCACATTATCCACTCACTCTCTCTCTCTCATCCAGAATTTCAACCTTTCCCATTCCCCCATATTAAGACCTCGAGGATCCCTTCGCATTGACCTTGTCACCTCTACTGTCCCTTCTTCCTTCTTTATTCCCTTCCTCTCTCTCAAGCTCACCCGGCACTCTTGTCTCCTTCGACAGCCCCTCCTTGGACAGCAACGTTGTCTTTGACTCTGTCTCGAGCCTCCTTCTTCGCCAGACCCTCCGTGCCAATCCGTCTAGGGAAAACGAGCTTCTGTCTCTCCCTCTCTTCCTCTTCTCTACCATACTTGTCCACTACCTCTTACGGACCGAACCGCATACCAGTCGCTCGACGATCGAAACGACTACAGCCCCTTTCCACCACCGACCAATATCTGTGTGTTAGCACTACAACTGTGTCTGCGTGCCGAGACATTACCGTCACAAACGAGCTTCGTGCCTCTGCGTGTGTATGTGTGTGTGCGTGGGTCTAGCTTAGCTTGTCACTCCGACCCCCGCGACTCAGCAAATTCCCCAACGCCCGAGCAATTAGCATTGGCGGGACCGCAACTTTTCCAAGAGGAAAAAAAAACCTAGCCTCAACTCAATTGGTCAATTCACCCCCACCATGGCCGACATCACCGTGCTCGGCGAGCTCCCGTCCGCCTCCCTCTTCACCTTCCCGCCCAACGGCGCGCATATGGCCATCCCCCCACCTTTCCCCGGTTCCATCGCTGCCGCGCCCCCCGTCGAAATCCCCGACCACATCTTCACTGCCGCCCTCGACCCCAAGGTGCCCATCACCATCGCCGCCCTCTATGCCGTCACCGTCAAGCTCCTGAACAAGTACAACAACTCGACCAACCGCAAGCCCTGGGGCATCAGCAAGACGAAGCCCTTCTTCGCCTTTGTTGTCCTGCACAATGTCTTCCTCGCCGTCTACTCGGCCTGGACTTTCTGGGGCATGCTCGGTGGCATGCGGAGGAGCGTTGTGAGCCCCTTTGGCCCCAATGGTCTGGCTGCCACTGCCGACAGCTTCTGCCAGCTCAACGGCAATGGTGGTTTCGGCGCCGCCACCGTCTACAACGAGACTGTCGGCTACTGGTCCAGCTTGACCGGCAATAACGCCCTTGGCCTTGACGGACGCCCGAGCCGCGAGGCCACCGGCAGAATCTGGAACGAGGGCCTCGCCTTCTACGGATGGATCTTTTACCTGAGCAAGTTCTACGAGGTTCTCGACACCTTCATCATCCTCGCCAAGGGCAAGCTCAGCTCTACCCTCCAGACCTATCACCACGCCGGCGCCATGATGTGCATGTGGGCTGGCATGCGCTACATGTCCGCCCCCATTTGGATGTTTGTCCTGGTCAACTCTTTCATCCACGCCATGATGGTAGGTTTCGCGCGCATTCCGCTCATATGAAGTGATGCTAACAGCCCGCCCAGTACACCTACTACACCATCACCGCTTTCAACATCCGCGTCCCCATGGCCATCAAGCGAACCCTCACCACTCTCCAGATCACCCAGTTCCTTGTCGGAGCTACATACGCCATGGCCCACTCCTTCGTTTCCTACACCGTCCCCGTGACTGTCTACACTGCCAACAAGGGTGCCAATGCCATCACTCAGTCTTCCACCAGCACTGCCGCCGAGACTGTTGCCACTGCCGCAACTGGAGCTTTCGAGGCTCTCAAGGATATGGTCTTTGGCGCTTCTGCCAAGGTCGCTGAGGAAGCCGCCGCTGCCTCTGTCGCCGCCGCTGCCGCCGCACCCC